GACTTGGTGCAAGACCAATTGCTCGACCAGGACGAATTCAGCCACGTACGTACCTTCTTTGTTGTCGTGTGTACGATCTTTGAATGGGTGGTGGTTGGTTGGTTGTGGTGGTGGCGGTGTGTTTTAAAAACTAAATCAAATGTTTATATATAATAAAAATAATATCTCAAGAAAATACGATTATAATTTCTTTGACTTGATTTTCTTATACTAGTACTTTGAATTGATTTTTTAAATTTAAACCCAAGGATATGTTTGAACTTGTTTACTTGGGCGAAGATTTGAATGGATGGCTGAGAACGACCGACATGATTTTGTGGTTTCACTGTACCAGATCCTGTATACACAAACGGATATGTGTTTGTGTGCAGGGCGAAGTGAAAAACTACCTGCGGGACGTGATGGACCACCTCAAACAAATGGCAGTGGACATCCGCGACCACCACCAAACGCTGGCGGCGTTGGTGGAGGAAGACAAGCAGCTCCGCGCGCAGCACCAGACTGACGTGATGTACGCCATGTCGGTGGTCGCCGCGTGCTTCCTTCCAGGGACGTTTATGACGGGGATCTACGGCATGAACTTTGAAAACATCCCCGAGCTCAAGTTGGAATACGGGTACTACGTGTGGTGGGTCGTGCTCTGTGTGATCGTCATCACGCTCATGTTTTACCTCAAAGTCATCAAAAAATGGATCTAGCCCCCCCGAGCACACCGTGAAATCGACGGCATGTCGTTCGTAGCTCATATACACCCCCCCAGAAATAATACAATCAAATGCTACTGAATGCTGTTTATATTCATTCGCTCATCCCTGCCATAACCATGGTGACAGTCCTCGTCCTCTATATCGAGAAATGCTCATGGAAGAAGTTTGGGCTAATTGGCTTGACCACTTGCTTGTTCACAAGAGGCAGTTCACACTAACGTTATACAAAGATCATCAGTCTGATTTAGGACAAATTTAAATAAATCCTCGTAATAAAAATGATTTTGCAGCAAAACTTGAGGTGAAACGTGGAGGTAATTTGTACTATTAATAAATAGTATATAGTAAGTACAACGACAGCACGTCAATGTGAACGTTTGTGGGCCTTGCTTGAGAGAGCTTGATACATGTCGATATGTACGTACAGAGTTACTGTACTCCGTTGGAAGGATGCGATATTAGAGACATTTAGCAAACCCGTAATTTGAAATTACCGAAATCAAGCGGAATTTGGCTCAAATATACGAAATCGCATGACCATTCCGTATATTTGAGCGTCAAATTACCGAAATGTCTAAGCCAATCAAAATACATCAAAATGTAATGGGTGGTGGATTGTGCTTGCTGGACGTAATAGATGAACTGTTCATACATTTACCTCGAAGTCACTCCAATGGTTGACCCACAACCTCGACCACCAGCCAAGTACGTTGCATGGAGGGAAGACCTGGAGGTTGCCCTCCTGCGTGAGGTGACACGAATCGAACCATTCGCAGCAGACCACGGCGAGCTGCTGCAGCGATGGAAGTTGGTTGCAAGTGGCCTTAGTGACCAAGTACCCAAGATCAACTACCGCAGTGCCCGTGAGCATCACGCCAACATGCTCACGGGCACTGCGGTAGTTGATCTTGGGTACTTGGTCTCATGCAGCAAGGAGAGCGGCACGCGGACGCATCGTTACGACTGGTTAATCGTCAACTCTTACTCTTACGAAGCCAATGAACGGGGTTTAATTTGTTAGAAATGGTTTTGGCATCGAAATTTCAAATTCCGTGATTGCTAAAGGTGTAACTTCAAATATCGGAATCAAATTCCCGAAGTGAATTCGAACGTAGTTAATTTCGGGAATTTGATCAAATTACAGGTTTGCTAAATGTCTCTATTGTAGCGGCCGCTGACAAAAACGAGCAGCCACGGCAATAGTAGATGCAAGGAAGTCATACCTATATGCACCGTAGTGGTAAGGAAGCCAAGAGGTCGTGGAGCGCGTGGTACATGATAAAGATGTTGCCCGTGGACGTCAACCAGCAAATGCGATGCGACGGCATGACGATTGCAAACGCATCCTTCTCGAGGACCAATCCGAGCGCCGTCATAATATGGACGAGTAAATGCTTGGGAAACACGTTCAGAGACTATGCAGGTCCTGCGGGACGTTGATGACGGGGGCGACGATGCAGTCGTCGAGTATGATTTTGACGCGGACAACATGCGGCGCATCGTGGTTAGGTTGGTCATGGAGGCGCGGCGTGGATCCACGGTGCGCGTGAGGCCATTCGGCACGCACCGGTGGTAGAAACCTCGTCGGCCACTGCATCCGTACAAGTGATTTGTGTGGAACTACATCTACTTAGCGTCATATGCCCTGTTGTTGGTGTCGATGCCGTTGGAGCTGTCGACTGTACCGCATCTGTGACAATGTGGATATGCATTGGCGTGATTCATTTACAATATTTAAATCTGACTTGGAATTTGTAGGCCAATGCGGAAACGTTTAGTATTTGAATTGCGTCCACAACATTCTAATGATATAGACAGACCCATGGACGGCAACTAGGAGTCATGGTATGACACGGATGTACCCTCGAAGGCCAAGACCGACGACAACATGATCAGCTCTCGACCCATCCACGACGCTAGAACGTCATTCGCCCACCCAGCCAGCGGTGATGTCCATCGATCTGACCTCCGTGACGAGCTAAACAAAGTCACGCGACCGCTCGTGCCAGGCTGGAAATATCCAAGGTAATTTTTGGTCAAGTTTTGGCCATGACAAACGTTAGTTAGGTCGAGAACGAGGACGAATCTCCAATATAAAACGCCACCATTTTTTGAATGATTGGACTATATTTCAAATGAAATGTTTTGTTTGGGCTTTATGGTCACGACTTTTGAGGTAGAACACTTGATGTGTTTGTATCATAGAATTTCGCTGAAAGTTGCTGTTCCTCGAGATACCAATCAGCGTTTTGATTGGCTAAAATGAAAGCAGACTGTAAATTCACGGATTGGCCAAGACAAGTTTTGTTGAAGGGCAAGTTGAAGCTAAAGAGCGAGTGTGCAAGAATTCCATTCACCAGCTGCAACAGCAAAGACTTGCCCACTTTCAAATTTTCTTTCCCACGCATCAAGATATGCCACTGCCACTCGTCACTTTGATCGGCGTCCTCCTCAACGCTACCATCGGAGCCGCCATCTTCCAAGCCGCCGAAGACCGGGAAGCTGCCAAGCATGTTCCCGCGGACGTCTTACATGCGTCCGTGGACAAATGGATCATTCCTTGGTGATTGCCGCGTCATGGATGGCTTCTCCCTTCTGCGGCGCTCAGTGACGCCATCGAACCGCCTTCGTACCGGGCCTGGCCTTGGTGCATCCATCGTCCGCGAACTTCCTTGTGGATGTTGGACGCATTGGACACGATACAGGACTACTGCTAAGTGCAGTAGGCTGCCCCATGTCGTAAAACTATGCAAAATAGTTCACGAATAATATTCACCAAGTTTTACACTGCAAATTGCACTGTAGAGAATGGTAGTGTCTTCGTTTCAGTACCTATGTGACGTCTTCCATTGTGAAAACTGCAATGCACACAGTGGAGTAGTCAGTGGGGCAACGTAGCCTTGAACCTATCCGTCCATTCCTCACATCGACAAAATACAAGCCAAACAATAGGCGGGGGGAAACTTCAACTTGAACGACGTTGTGATATCCAGTGTTTGTACAACTTCAAGTACGAGAACATGCCGCCGCAGATGGCAACGAGGGCGATCCACCACACAAAGTACCCGCTCTAGGTGTGCAGCTCGGGCATGTTGTCAAAGTTCATGCCGTAGAGTCCCGTCATGAACGTCCCTGGAAGGAATAGGGCGGCGCAGATGGACAGCACACCGTCCTTGTGTGGTGGTCTTTGATGTCGCTGGTCATTTGCTTCAAGTGGTCGCGTACATCTCGCAAGTGATTGCGAACTTTGCCCTGGGTGACTAGTGTTGTTAGGCCAGTACAGTACCTTAGTACTTCGGTACTGAAGTAGTACGTACTAGTAACTAACTACCGGTAGTAGACCAAAAACAAACATACTACTACGTAGTAATACCATTTTTCGTGTAAGTTCAGGCTATTTCCGGTATATTTCGTCCGACGCACAACTGATTCACGCCATGTGCGTTATGTTCGCCGAACATTCGATATATTTCGTCCAGACCGTACAAGGTGCATTATGTTTCGACTAATGACCGTACAAGGTGCATTATGTTTCGACTAATGTCTGGTATATGTCACCCCCCAGTTGGTAGTTGTTCAATATGTATTTCAAATGATGTTCCATCGATTTCGATTTTCGAAGCAAACCAAGTACGAAGTATTATACTTCGAACTACTACATAGTAAATCGCAGGTGGTGGATACTTGTCATAGATATTTTACTTTCGAGCTAAATTTGGTATTTTCGGTAGATTCGACGAACGAACGTCAAATACACCTGAAATCGTACTTGAACTTACAGTTAATATACTCACTGGGACCCCTGTCCGATAATACAACGTTGAACTCTTTGTAAAATGGAGAAGCTTGCAAATGCACCCGATCCGCCTGCAATTTGATTGGTCGAAAGGTCTTTTTCGAAAATTTCATTGGCTACTTCGTTCCGTCGATTACTGTGTCGATTTATCAAAATCGATGGAACATCATTTGAAATACATATTGAACAACTACCAACTGGGGGGGTGACATATACCAGACATTAGTCGAAATATAATGAGACGAAGTACGGTCTGGACGAAATATATCGAATGTTGCGTGAAATCAGTTGTGCGTCGGACGAAATATACCGGAAATAGCCTGAACTTAAAATGGTGTACTATTAATTGTACTACTACGACATATGTATGTAGTAGTAGTGTAGTTTGCACTTAGTTGTACTCGACTTGGTCCATGAGTTGCCCTAGTACGAGATCCAGCATCGGTCGCACGAACGACTTTATATCAATCGCTTTCTTGCGAACTTGCAGAGGACCTTGAGCTTGGCTTCGATTTTACAGGTAATTCAGAATCGAAGAAATTGTTGTATATCCGGATACGCACACTATGTGAGTCAAACTCGTTGACAAGGTACGATGACACTCAAATAAATGCTCATGCGCCATGTTGTCGACACAAAACAAACCAACGACCCCCCCATCGGATTGAAAAAGTACACTTTCAATCGAACCGAATGCATTATCCGGAGGTAACCGGATAGCGGACAAGGCTCTGTGACGTGGCAAGTTGTGAGATGTGCTATTCTAACTGTTATGGGGTATTATTATGCTTAAATCCACTGTTTTACAAACCGGAGAAACGTAAACAAGGTCGTGACGATCATGAGGAATACTGCCCACCACACAAAGTACCCGTACTCGGTGTGCAGCTCGGGCATGTTGTCAAAGTTCATGCCGTAGAGACCCGTCATGAACGTCCCCGGGAGGAACAGTGTGGCGCAGATGGACATGATGTACAATACGTCGTCCTTGTGCTTGGCTCGGATCTGCTTGTCTTCTTCCACGAGTTCCGCCAGCGTCTGGAGCGACTCCTTCAAACTGACCGCCATTTGCTTCAAGTGGTCGCGGACGTCCCGGAGGTAATTGCGCACTTCGCCCTGGAAAATATACATCATAAATACCACACAAATACCGATCCTTCAGTGTGCATATATATCTCAAAATTACTATATATGTATATATAAATCATCGTATACAACGGAATATGCATAAACACACATATACCGCTTCATGAATCAATGTCCATAGATACAGTACAGTATTGCTATCTCAACAAACTATCATGCTAACGTGACGTGGTCGTATTGAAAGAAAGAAATCATCGTAAACAAAATATATTATTAGTATATACTAGTTGTACATCTAGATCCATCACTTTCCATATATATATATATCAAAACCCCACCACTATATATATATATCAAAACCCCACCACTATATATATATATATCATTGCAACCAAGAGCTCGAGAATCCAGATATTTCATAAACCACGAAGAGGTACTGTAGGTAGGTACCTTGTTGAACTCGTCTTGGTCCATGAGTTGGCCTTCCACGAGGTCCACCAATGGTTTGACGATTTTGTCAATTGCGAGCAGAGACTTTTTGGTCTTGGTGAGGCGTTTGGGGTTGAATTTCGTGCGTTCGACGCGCAGCAGTTTGCCCAATGTCGTGAGCTGCACCTCCATGACGTGCACGAGCGGGCGCATTTCGTCTGCGACAGCGTTCAACATGGACATGACAAGGAAGTGTGCGTCATGGTTGCGGATCTTGGAGTACGACTTGCCCATCTGGTTGTTGAACACGGACTGCCACAGCTGGAACCCCGCGACCGTGTCGACGTCGCTCTCTTCTTGGACGCTGATCACGTTCCCGTGCTTGTGGATAAAGATGCACAGCTGTTGGGGCTTGCGCATGAGCAGTTTCAAATTGTCCAGCGTCTCCTCGAGCTGGCGTTTCTTGCTGGCCTTGTCGACGACTTTGGTCGGTCGTTGCGGAGCTAGGTGCTCATCGCCAAACCCACCGAGTGAACCCCGACGGACAGTCGTGTTCCAGTAGCTTTGGTTGCGAAGTTGCCTCGACAACATCGCACGCCCTTGATCCTTGGCGTACAAGTCGTACCGGTGGCGGTTGATGTACGTCTCCATGTCCTTCTTCTTTAGCCCGTCCAATGGACGGATCACCGGCACACATAAAAACGCGTGGTCCTCGTAGTGCTCGTACTTGCACCGGACCATGTCGTCATGGTTCAAGCAGTCTTCTAGTGCCAGCGGATGGAGCTGGTACTTGATGGCGAGGCGGCGCAAGTTGACGTCGTCGACGCGCTTGAAGCCGGCGACGTGCACCCAGCGCACTTTGGCCCAGTGTGGTTTGGAAGAAAACATAAACGACTGCAGCTTCGTGACGGGCGCGACCGTGTGGATAGACGTGGGGGAGTAGTCCACGACGCGAAGGATCATGGGGGACGCGGGGACGCTCAGCGGCGACGGGAGGACGATGACGGGGGAGGACGGAGGTAGGGGAAAGCAGAAGTCGGAGGACGAGGAGAAGGATGTGGTGATCATGTTGTTCTTGGAGGTGGGAAACTTGTCCTCTTGCGCCACGTGCTCGGGCTTGAACAGATGCGCTTGCTTGATCATTTGAACCACATGGATGAACTCGTCCAGGCTGACCATCCCGTCGTGATCAAAGTCGATCTTTTGAACAAACACGTCAAAAGGGATGTCTGACGGGGGTGAAATCCCCAGCGCGAGCAGTCCTTTGTGAAAGGCGTCGTACGACACCTTTTCTTCGCCTAACAGAATCAAGCATGCGATCAGAGGTCATGGAAGGAATCTTGTGTGTGTACCATGGGGGGCAAAGTGTCGAAACATACGGCGGAGACGACCAGTGGTGACGTCGTAAAAAGGATCGAGGAGCACCCCAAGCTCCTCGTTGTCTTCGACATCCAGCTGCTCAAACTCGGAGCCGCCACCTCCACAACTTCCAGACATGGACGAGTGACTGGAACTACGCACGACAACGTGCGCGTAGTCCCATTCCATGCTCTTCGCATCCTCTACTGTGAACGTGGGCAACGGATTTGTGCTATGGGTCCATCGTTCGTCGCCTCCCGCAGGACAGGCATTGATACTACCACCGGAAGGTGCCCGCACCTTGTCCACGTCGACCACGACGCTGTGGTAAGGCGGATGATGGGATGCCGTCGTTGGGTCTAGAAGGGGCGTGCTTGGGTCCCAGTGGCTCCTTCCTCCATCGAGCGGATGCTGCTGCTTGGACGACGGTCGCCGTTGCATGTCCTTTCCTCGTTGCTGGTCAAAATCAAAACTGGCAAAAAATAGATCCGATCTACGGAGGGGTGATTCTCCATAGTTACAAAGCTCAAGTAAAAGCCATGTCCACCGCCCCATTTCCAGGGGGAATTATAGAAAGTTCTTTTATTTTTCACTAATTAATTGGCAATTTTCTCTCCAAAATCCACACATTGCAGTTAATCCTTGGTCGGGTCGGGCACAATGTGTTCGAGCTTGGCGAGGGCCGCCGATTGCGCGGCCATGAGCGACTGGACCTCGACAAACGTCGACTGCAGTTCCGCCACAACTTGAAGAATGTGCTCGCTCTTGATGTTGACGCGGTCGAGGTAGTCGGACGTGTCGTAGCATGCGTCTTGGAGGGCGAGGTACACGACAGCAAGCGCAACGAGGAACGGCGGGCGCAGAAGAACGATGTGTGTGCGGTACGCAAACAGACACAGGTCCCTACGTGAAGTTCCATGACGCCCAACATGGAAGGAGGCAGAAGTACAACCATGCTGTCTTGAAGCTGTGGTCGTACATAGGAAACGTCTCTTCGACCTCCTCGTACACCTTGACCAGCGTGCTAAACGGATGGTGGATGACCAAGTCGTACTGCGTGGCTTCGATCACGTAAAACTCGCATTCGATCACATCTTTCTCGGTAAAGTCATACATGGCGTCCTTGTCCTCGGGTATTTCTACGGGAGGGTACGTGAGGATCGAGGTAGAGGACGAGAAGCATGTACTGGTCGTGAGTTCATGCAGGGGACTTGTGATCTCTGGCAAACGCACGGGGAACTCTTCGATCTTGGTCGCCAACACCATCACCGTGCACACGACGAGGCGCGGGTCAAAGTCGGTAAAGCTTTGGCTACGCCGTCCATAAGTGTAGGAATCGTGGGAGGAGATGGAGAGGGGGGTGGTGGTTTACGTGAGGTAGAAGCGCTTGTAGAGGATGATCGCTGTGCAAATGATGATTTGGTTCACGTGAATGCGCGCACCCAACTCCTCGATGACTACAGTGGTGGCGACAAATGGCGTCCGTCATGGACAGGACGTGGAGAGAGAGAGAGAGTTACGATGTGGACACGTACGCGCTATCATGGCGAGGTGAATGCTGTCGACTTCTGCCAGGGATAGTGACGTGTCTTTCGGGTTGATCCGCTTGAGGTCCTCCAAGCGAAGGTTCTTCATCCAGTGTAAGCTAGATAGATGCACGCAAATGACGACCTTCGTTCTCTCTCCATGTCATTCCTCAAGACACGGAGCAAGGATGAGACGTACTAATGCGTCGATTGCCAAAAGTTTAGCGCCATCTTCGCCGCCGCCAGCAATCGCCGCCGATAATAGTAACGATGTTGGTCCGAATTCCGGATCATTCGATCATTATCCGGATGAACACAACCTCGAAAGAAGTGCGAGATGGCCGACGCAACAAGCGACGATGGCGGTACTGAAGGGCTGGCCGCTGGCAATGGACGTCCCAGTGGACCAGAGAAAGGTAGACTAATTGTAATGCTTCGCCGGCGTATTTCAAGCAACCTCCATGTAGTAACGATCCAGTTCACAGCCGTGGGCGGAGCCCCCATCATGAAACGCAGCAAGTTCACCGTGAACGGCATCGATCCCCTCAGTCATGTCCGAAAGACGCGGATGTCGCTGCCAAAAGCGTGTGTTGACGATGTTCTCTTGTAGGTGTACATCTTTCTCCGAAAGCAACTTCGCCTGAAAGACGACGACGCGTTGGTACGTCCATCCTTAGCTCGTGGTTGCCGCCGCCACTTACAAGTTGTTTGACGCATGTAGTTTGTATACTGCAACAACTCCTTCGCCCCCACTCCTGACCAACGAATGTATGAGCTCTTCGAGGTACGATGTCCATCGATCTACTAGTTAGTCATGTCCAATGCATTCATACGTCCATGTGCACAGTGCTTTCAAGTGAACGGCGTGCTCGTGTTAAACTACAGTCGATCTCAAGCCTGGGGTTAACACACACACATTAATCTAAAATTCTAAAAAAATACAATTAGTTTTGAATATTAATATATCTTTTCACGTATTCATCATTGCTTAGCCATCGCGCATGAGGGCTTCAATCTGAGCTCGCGCAGCTCGGTGTTTGAGCTGGAGTTGCTGCAGCTCTGTCATAACGTTGCTCACGAACGCCCCATCTTCTCCAGCAACTCGTCCTCCATCGTCCTCTTCAGTCTCATCCACATGCGCGGCCTTAGACGACCTGCGCGGCGCAGCATGCTGCTTCACGGGGCTCGGCACCTTGCGAGTTTTGGGCTTGGGCACGTTTTGCTTGGCAAATGCCAATGCTTTATCCCGCGTGGACATCGTTTTTGGCGATGCTTTGTCGTCTACGGTCGTTGCTGACTTCTTGGGAATCGATTGGTTGATCTGGCGCAAGTTCTTGGAGAACTCCTTGACGCGTTCCTGGTTGGCTCGCTTTTCGACCAGCTCCGTCGCGTTCAAATCTGGCTGCAGTTTGCCCAGTTCGTAGTACTTGTCGTGCTTTTCCTGTCGGTACTCGGACAACGTGCACGGCTCGTAGCTGACCGGCCGCGCCTTCTTGCTGAACGCGAGCTGATCTTCGTGGGTACTTAGCTTGGAATAATCGTGGGTACTTATGCTGGCCTTTCGGTCGTCGTCGTCTGGTGAGTTTTGAGGTGGCTTCGATGGCTTGAGAGGTGTCGTGTAGGTCGGTTTAGGCGACAACGACGCAGGTGGCAATGGTTGGGGGTTTCCGCGTCGAGGGGAGGACCCGTGCGGAGGTTGTTGTTGCTTGGCAAGTTGCTGGGGATGCTGGGAGGTGGCTTTTGCAGAGGCTTGGACGACGGTGTACGAACTGTCTTGTTGGTCGTCGTCGTCGTCATAACGGGCAGAGACCGAGTTGTGGTCGCGATTGTTGTCGGGTTGGGTCACAACCATGGCGGACGGTTGCGGTTTTCTGCGCATGGGGCCACTGCGGACCTCTTCGACGCCGTCGGCGCGACGGAGGGTGCCGTGCATGGTCACGGTGGAGATTTTGTTCTCAAAGCGCGAGAGGAAGCTCATCACGCCAAGTCATGCACGGCGGCCGACGAGTCGCGTAAGTTTGCAGGGCTAAATTTAGACTAACATTACTGTAAAATCGTGGACTTCACGAGTCATGATATGGTATCTATTTTGATATCTCCTGCCAAGTTTATGACGAAAGTGGAGAGGTATACTGTATGTTTGCAAGGAGTTATGGTTAGGATAAACAACCCAAGGCGGTCTATTTCGTTCAGCCAGCCTGTTCACCTATACTGTAGTGTACATACATAAGACGGGCAATTTGCTAGCGTCGGCATGGTCTAGCCGTAGATACACGGGTGCTACAGCTACTGTACCATTCTGGACATAATTAGCCAAGACGAGAGAGCTTGGTTCGGGTGATCGTACAAGTTCCCTTGTCAAGTGGTGCAGGTGACGCCACGTCACGTTCACATGTATGAGACAGAGTGAGTACTGTAGCGCAAGTTTTAGTAGTGCCGTTAAATTGGAATTGGTAGCAGCTGCTGTAGCTACTGTAACCACACGATTGATTATGAATTTGCAGGGTCAAGTTGAAGTGGGCAATTGAGAAAACCTTCGACAATGCATAACTTTGCAGCCTCGAATCTTGAAAATGTTTTAAAAATCCATGGCCCATACGAATTGTGAAGGAGAATATATAAGGTAATAGACATGTCAATCAAAGTATTAGCTTCCAGAGGTTGAGTATCCCGTGTGACCGAGCAGGATAATTGCTTCGTTGGGACAATAGCCATGGGCGGAGAAGCGTCCAACTTTGGCGCGAGCATCTCACCGTCGCCGCCACCGAAGCGAGTCCAGTTCGACTTGGAAGGTTCGTTGCATGCTTCAGCATGCAGGCATTGACCCTCGCTGTAGATGAGACCCGACACTTCCAGCCCACACACACCGTGTGCACGCCACGGCTACGCACCAACGGGCTCAAGTACCGGGCGCCCGACGCCCGCGTGGACGTTAGCGAGACTCTGGCACCTCCGAGTAGCGTGGCCAAACCAAACTACGACGACTCCCTTCGCCGGGTGTCGGTCGTGCTGTATCAACACATTCGGCGCTGCGAAAAGCGCATGCGCGAATCCAAAAGTGGCGGTGGCACGTTGTCTGGCGGCTTCCATGGTACATAGATACCCCCTCTCCTCCTCTCCATCCATTTCACATCCTCCTCCTACCTTTCTCATCTCTCCTAGGTCTGTTTCACTCGAACAGCGCGCCTGCCAGCAGCACGCACGCCGCGGCCGTCGAAGATGAGCCGTTCCCGTTCGACTCATCCACGGTGCTCAACGGCCAGACAGTCCTCTCGAACCTGGGCGTGAGTCGCGAAAGCGTGTTTGACGAGGAACACTTTGTCACCCCGCAGTACAAGTACCAGTTTGTGCGGCTGCCGATGCTCCATCCACTGACGTACTACAAGATGGACAAGGTCAGCTGCAAGACGCACATCCCGTCTGTGGACGAGATCTTCCGGTTCTGCAAAAACCTGTTCAATCGTGCGCAGTTGAGTGCTGAATGCACCATCGTGTGTCTGATCTACATTGAGCGGCTCATGGAGCGGGCGTCGATTCCGTTATTGGGGTCGAGCTGGAAACCCATTGTGCTGTGTGGGTTGCTGCTGGCGTCCAAGGTATATGATATATATATATATATTGTCCTTTTACCCAAACCATTTGGCTGACTTTTGTGCTAATTCTTTGCCAAATCTATTGATCGATTGTTTGTACTGACTTTTGTACTATGTTAAAATAGATGGTTCAATAATACCACACTAATTTAAATCACACACTAATTCGGCGTTGCATTGGTCCAAGAGTGGATGATTTGATTGGTCACTTGATTCAAGTTCTGCGTTTTGATTGGTCAATCGATATTGTGGATTATATTATACTGCTCATTTCGATTGTGAGAGCGCACCCCACTCCCATTTCGAATCGACTTGACAATATATATATATATATATATATATGGCGTTGATGGGGTAGTGGCTAAACCAGTGGTAGGTCTGGCAGGACCTGAGTTCGTGGAACGTGGAGATCTCAAACGTATACCCGCAATTCCCCCTCCACAGCATCAACCGCCTCGAGCGCCTCTTTCTCCACTATATCCAATGGGATTTGTATATTTCTGGGTCTGTGTATGCCAAGTACTACTTTGCGCTACGCAGCCTGACAGAAAAGAAGGACTTTCGCAGGCGATACAACTACACGATCAAGATCGACCCGCCCAATTCCAAGCGACTCGAGGAGCGCAGCGCCGCCGTCAAGAACGAATTGTACTCGCGCAGTGTCTAACCATCGTGGCCGTATATATATATAAATATATAATAATGCAATCGAAACAACCAAAAGAGTACAATATGGTCATTTTATGGGGTGTACAGCTGTACTGTACGTAGTTGCGGCTGCTACATGTATGTACTAGTATGTACTACTAGTGTCCCATGTGAATACTACTAGTATGGCGAAAGGACATGCCACCGCCTGGTCGCTTGTAGCCAGTTGCGGTTGAGAGAGCATTCAACCATGTACTACGTAGTACTAGGATAAATTAGTATATGTACAACTTCCAAGTGCGTTCGTACTAACTACTACTGCTAGTACTACTACTACTGACTTGAAAAAGTATATATGAACTGGGTCCGTTGTGATGTCATCATACAGTAGTACTACAGTATATTCGGACTATACCACGCTTTTTGGAATCTATTAATATATATATATACTATTAATAGTACGTATATCTACTATTAATAGTAGTATTATTGATTTGGTACGAGACCCCGTTCAATCGTCACGAATTGATCACGAATCGCTCCCATTGGTCAATCTCAATACGTTTGTCGCTGATTGGCTACATATATATATTTTCGCTCACTGAATCGCGCAGAATTGGAACATTTGTGGCAAATTCACAATATATATATATCGATTAGATGGGAATTTTGTCGCCGTTGAGGTTATAATCCCATCGGCGTCGAATGAGCGCGTGCAGCGTGGCCTTGCCGAGCGTAGTTTGGAGGCCTTCGGTCACGTAGCTCACGAGGCTGTCGCGAGGCAGGGCGTAGATGTTGGCGATGGCATGTAGCAGGTCGAAGTGGTCGTCGATGGACGGATGGCGGCACACGCGGAATGCTTGGCGGTACATGGCGAGGTCCCTACAAGAGTCTAGATGTATGACGTGGCATCGTATACGAGGCCATCAAGTATTGTCAAATCGATTCAACACTGGAGCCCTCGGTAGAATATCTTTGGAGAATCGATAATAAAAGAACCGCCTAAGCCAATCAAACCACGTCGTGTCGAATATATTCAGCCAATCCAAACGTTTGACCCTTCCTCATTGGGCAAAACCACATATATACGAATCTTTGTATAGTATAGTGTGTACAAGATTAATAAATACGATCAAATAAAGAGATCTCATGTCCAAATAAATGTACGTCAAGAGGAGGCACGCGCCGTCGGCATCGAATTTGAACTTTTGCAGGTGCGCAATGTACGTGTCCTTGAACGTAGCGCACACGTTTGAAACAAATTGCGTGCGGTTCGACACGCCACCAACGTCGTCCTATACCACGTACAAAACGTTTGCAAAACAGAATGACGTGGCAGCACGACTGACCAGCGCCGCACACGCGTGCATAAACATGTGGGACAGGTATTGCACCACTTGAGTGCATGCTTTGGACTGGGTCTGGACCTGCTTGTTGCCGACAAAGTCGCCCTTGTCCAGGCCGTTGCTACGGTAGTTCGTGGCGCGAACTGATATATATATATAATATATTTTTATAATATATTTCGTACGTGAACAACGCGACGAGCGACTTTTCGACGGCTTGGAACGTCTTTTGAAGGCCATATGCGATCAACCCCTCGAGTTTTTCCATGGTTTTGCGTTTGCTTTCCATGCAAATGCTAGAACAGCACGATACATACTTCAATATATTTAAATACTACTAGTATATATATATATATATATATGAGCAACACGTACGTATGCTGGGTCGGCGCCGCCTGGGCCAAATATGGCGCGACCGCCACCTTGTACTGCGAATCGAGGAGGTTCACGTGCCCCATCAAACTCTACAGTCAAGAGCACCTTTGTGGGGAATTTCCCCCGGCATTCCGTGCTTTGATGGGCATTTTCCCACTCGACACTTAAAATGCCCCACAAACCCTGTCGCGTTTAGCTTACCTTTAACACGACGAAAAAGTTGCTTGCCGACTCGAGGCACAGCAGCGGTTCTTGGACAAGTTCGTGGGATAAATTGGCCATTTTCTACGATATATAATAAACGTTAAATCAGTTCGTTGCTGAGATAGTTTCTCGCAAACTCTCGATTAAGTACCCCCAGATACTCGTCGCCAAACGCGTGGCAGTACGACGTGTACAGTCGCGCCATCAACTCGACCCGCAGCTCGCTGTTGCGCAAAACCACGTCGCATCTGGCCGTCGATTCCTAGCCACACGTTCAAGTAAACACATGATAGATACGTAATGGTCTATATTCAACAATTGATATCGCATGCATTTCGTATATATATATATATATATATTTCGCAATTCTGCACGACGATTCGTAATAACACCGAAAGCAGGAAAAAAAAAACAATCATATGTAGCCAATCAGCGACCACCAGCATTTTCAGATTAACCAATGGGAGCGCGCGATTTGGGATCGGGTCGGTCGATCCAGAAATTCGTTTCCAAATCAATCATAGCATGGTCTCAACAATGATATCTGATCCCGAAAATGATATCTGATCGCAAAAGGGATACAGTATATATACATTCGATCGTACTTGGAGATCGCGGCCAAACTTGCGTGGCATGGTGTCGTCCATGGATATGGGCAGCAGCATTTGGTAAAACAGATTGAGCGGCTCGGGTTTGTTGGCAGTCGGGGCGTCGCGCGGGGACGCGAGCGCGGTGGTTGACGCCGGGGAAGTCAAGCTGGTGGTGTTACTGGGAATATTCCCACTGGTGGGCGACGTAATCTGGTGTCCTTTGGCCGTCTCTTTCGCCGCTTGTTCCTTGAGTTTGTACTTGTTCTTTCCGGACGGAATCGGGGGCCACTTGATCATACTCAGTGTCTTGTCAAACCCTTGGCTGAGCAAATCCTGCTCGATTTGCACATATCTAAATACCACACAATAATGTTTTCATATGAGGACAGTTCCCACTTCCCATCCCATGGGAAATTTCCTAAGACGAATATATATATATATCTGCCCAAACGTCAAAAGTGGTGGGTGGGTGGGTGTCGACAGGGAAAAATCCCTGCACGACCCATGTCGTACCGTTGACGGTGGCCCCCAAAGAGCACTTGCAATTGGACGGTCAGGAACGTTCGCATGCGGTCCGACTCGGCGGGCGTGTCGAGGGGAAAACTCCCAATCGATTGAACCAACCCACAGCACTTTTCGTACGCCACGCTCAGCGTCGCCACATACTCCTTATCCGACATCCCATTCCCTCCTATCCGTACGATACTGTCACGACATGGAGCCACGTCATAGTATGGGAAATTGTATACCCAGCAGCCGTTCCAGGTGCGAGAGGAGGCCAAACGCTGGGTCATGGCACACGCGCTCGATGAGCACCTCCCGGACCGACGGCGCCACCGCACCAGGAAATACGCGGTGGATGACGGCGAATTGGCTCTTGACGATGGCGCGGACTTTGGCCGTGAGCGAGTCCAAATCTTGAAGCAAGTCATCCGATGGATGAGAAGAGGCCGGGAGGTCCGCCGCGCTTTCGTCCGCGCGGAGGAACTGCGCATGTCTACCATGTATTATCATGACTTTACAGTGCCATGTCGACATTTTGAAACGTGGCTGTAGAGTATATATCACGCATTGAAGTATATATCACGCATTGAAGTATATATCATGCATTGAAATATATATCATGCATTGAAATATATATCACGCGCGCATTGAAATATATATCACTCGCGTTGAAATAGTAAAATAAACCTCGCATTGAAATCAAGAAAACACATATTGTGCTTTCGAGTGGACATTCGTGGTTTCTCGTTGGAATTTAAATCGATTTGATTGGCTAGATGAGCTCAAATTTATTAGCCAATCAAAAACTTCTAAATGAAATTCAACCAATCAGATCGATTGGGGTTTGGTCGGCGTGATTATTCGATTGCACCCCCTCCCCAAATATTTGTATCAAATCGACAATATCAAACATTAAAATATTGCAAACACATAACGTTATCACGCGTATTGATATAAAGTAAACAAATCAATGAAATGTTGTACTACGTAATAATTAATAGCTCGAAGTAATACACTATGAATACTATATCGATGTAAGTTGGCGATCGTGTTCAATCACGAAGAAGGGGTCATGTATATATTAAGTACGTACTTGGTCAGTTTTTCCTTGATGACGTTCCACACAAACCGGTCGGTAACGAGGTCATTGCACCCGTGAGCAAGCAGCGACGCCGCATTCTGCTTCATCGCGTCCATGTCTTGCGAGTTGGCAACTCCGCGAAGCTATATATATATATATATAATATCTACACAATTATGATATATAAATACTGCACCTCTTGGTCTTGGGCATCGCTAAACCCTTGGAGCAAGGCGGTTTCCAATGCTTGGTTGAGCCGATGAATCTCCTGGACGGCGACGGCGGTGGATGGAGATGAGAGCTCGTCGGCAAAATCGCGCAACTTGCTCACGATGCCAAGGGCCTACGAATCATAGGGAGGTTCAAGGTATGACGTGGCGAGCTGTGGTGGCACCTCGTGGATCTTATGGGGGTCTTTCAATGTGGTGTACAATTGGTTGGTCGACGACTTGACGGTGGTGGTGGACGGAGCGTTTAGCAGCAGGATGGCTTCGAGCAGCTCGTCGGTTTCCCGCGCGCGGTTCTTCTCCTTGTCGATGATGGCCAATCGATCTCCAATCACGACGGCAGACGAGCTCACCTTGGTGAATCGATCCTCCAGCTCGTCCATTTCCGCCGAGATCAGCTATGTGCCACATGAAGACCAACATCCTGTGGGGGGTAAGCTCACATGCAGAAGCTTCTCGGGCTCCCGAAGACTGTCGTTGAACTTGGCTGCGATCTTTTTGTTTTGCTTGTCCACGTCGACGAGTTTGGCAGAAATGACGTCCCGATGGGCCAGCAGCTTTTCGATCGCCGACTTGAACGTGGCTTGTAGGTCCGACAAGCTGGACGGACCATTGTTCCCGTCAGAGGGTGGACCACAGAGCTCGTCCAGCATGACATCAGTGCTGTATCCTTCATATGATTGGAAGGAACCACCGCCGACGCCGCTGCTCAAGAGCTTGGTCAGTTCCTTGCTTCGAATGCTGCTGGTGCTGTTCATGTTGGTGTTGGCACCACCTTGTGCGATCTTTTTATCCGGATATTCATAAAAGTCTCACCATCGACTGGCCAATCAAACATTTTAAAACAATAAAAAATGTCATCGTCAGCGATTCGGGAAAGTCAAATTCAGGTGACAATTGCAAATCGGCAGCATTTGCAACTCGGTGGGGGTACATACGGGGACGGTGGGTACCACATATGTCATCTACTACCTCAAAGGAACACAGTACAGCAGCTTTGTATCACGTTTTTGTAGCTGTCGGAAACGTAAAGGTGATGTGTACTTCGAAGTAATTGTCAATGAAATATTTTAAAATGCTTTTGAAATGTGTTTAATACATTTTAAGCAGTCGTGGTCGAGTTTAAAACGTCCAAGGAGGACGAAGATTTCATATCCAGCGAGAACACGTCTTTTTGCAACCAGTTTAACGAACATAGCATACAAACATCAAGATAAATCACAATGGGTCGCTACGTTAGCAAGGAGAGATGTTTACGACCATGATTACTAGGATCTGTTACAAAGACTCCATACTACCTCCAAGTAAAAAAAAAAAGGTGCCTAAACGTGGTCGTCTTCACGATAGGAGTAAACCATGGTGAGCGTTGAAATAAGCTTGCTTTCAGTATGTCATTTCTCCGTTCTCTTGGTCTTATATTGTGCCGCACTAATGGGATCGCTGATCCGCCGATTGTCGAGTACTTGAACCACCGTCTTTCTCTCGACGGAGGAAGCAACCACCAGTGACTCAAGATGACTGGAAGGACACATCGGGGTTCGGCCGTCACCCGCGGCGTAGATGGGCCGCAGATCCCAAATCAACCACATCGGGTGGTGGTGTGTGGCGGTGGCATCATTGGCCTCACCACATGCTACTACTTGGCGCGACGGGGTCACGAGGTCGTATGTATCGAGCGGGAGTCGCAGGTGGGCATGATGGCTTCGTACAAGAACGGAACGTTCTTCGACTCGACGTTGTATAGCAGCTGGGCCGATTTGTCCTTGCTGTACAAGAAGCATATGCATCAGGTGACGACGAACAGCAAGGAGAAGGGTTTCCGGGTGGAAGCGGCGGCATGGATCGACCCAAACTTTTGGGCGTGGGGACTCAAGTTTATGACCAACGCCACGTCGAAACGGGCCAAGGAGAACGGCCGCAAGATCCGCGAGCTCGGGTTCTACAGCCAGCGGAAGCTGCAGGAACTGCTTCGCATGCACCCGGAAGTCGAGGACGAGATGGAGCCCACCGCCCAAGGCACTCTCGAAGTGTTTCAGAGCAAGGCCGAGAAGGACGACGTGCTCGAGAGCGACCGCATCAAGCATTGCGCCGAGTTCCAGTTCCCGCTACAACCGCTCGACCCACACGAGGCAGCAGACATTGAACCTGCGTTGAATCGATCCATCTTTGCCCCTGGCGCGATCTTCTCCCCCACCGGAACCAACGGTATGCCGCCCCCTTTCTCCATGTGATCGTGTCGATGAAATTGACGGACCATGGCATTTCAAGGCGACGTGCACAAGACCTGCATGGCGCTCGCGACGCTCTGCAAGCAACATGGCGTCATGTTTCGCATGGACACAGACATCAAGGACGTGCTCGTCGTCGACAACCGCGTCGTGGCCATCCAAGTCGCCAACGGCGACCTTATTGAAGGCGACAGCTTCGTCTTGGCCCTCGGCAACCATACGGCCGCCGTCGCCAAGTTGGCCGGCATCAAATTGTACATGTATCCCGTCAAGGTACTGTACTCAAATATGGAACAATCTGTAACTGCGCAACCATTCTGAAACTGTACAAACATTCTGTAACTGTATCATTCTGTAACTGTACTGTTTTGTAACTGTATCATGCTTTCCAGGGGTACGTGCTGACCGTGCCGCGGCACGCCGAGTTTCCGCACCTCAAGTGCAATATTTATGCTGGCGGCAACGCCCTCGTGTCGCCCCTACGCGACAACGGCATCCGCATCAGCGGCGGCGCCGACTTTGCCGGCTTCAACTACAAGAGCGACCCGAAGCGCGTGGCGTGGCTACTGAAGCAGGCCAAGGCGGTGTTCCCGGACGGGTACTTGGACGAGTCCAAGGTCGACACGCACGTGTGTCTGCGTCCCGTGAGTGCGGACGACGTGCCGTTGATCGGCCAGACCACCGTCGACAACTTATTTGTCAATTCTGGCCACGGGTCCAAGGGATGGAGCCTTTCGTTTGGGTCCGCGGCGATCCTCGCCGACCAAATCAGCGGCCGCACGCCCGAGCTCAACATTGAAACGTACTCGCCGTGTCGCTTTGGGTTGTTTTAGATACATCGTTCACTTCCCGTGAATGGTCTCTTAACTTATCTGCTACAAGTCGTTATTTGGTACCCTGACCTTTCCTTGTACAGTACAGTTGTGTGGACTGTTGGGGTGCTTGGAGCACAATAACCTTCCTTGGAACGTCCCTTGTTGGAAGCGAGCGTCATAGATATAGGGCGTTTGACGTAGGACTCGCGCCTTGATGTGAATGGCAAGTGTGGAGAGCAAGCATGCTATCAACGAAGGATGCCGAATCGGTGCGGAGAGTACTGGTCCATGTTGATGGCTGGGATCTTGCCGCTGATGTCGTCGGCTAGGAGCGCGGCGGCGCCAAATGCTTGCGTCCACCCCTTGGCTCCGTGGCCACAGTTGACAAACAAGTTGTCGACGGTGGTCTGGCCGATCATCGGCACGTCGTCCGCACTCACGGGACGCAGACACACGTGCGTGTCGACCTTGGACTCGTCCAAGTACCCTGTCGGAAACATGGCTTTGGCATGATGGAGCAGTCCCGCCACACGCTTCGGGTCCATGGGTTTGGTCTTGGACGACTTGCCGGCAAACTCGGCACCGCCGCAGATGCGAATGCTGCCGTCCATCAATGGAGACACCACCGCGCCTCCATGATGCGACGAGTACACGTTACACCTTAGAGGTGGGAACTGGTCGTGGCGGCCCACGGTGAGCACATATCCCTACGCATTCGAATTTGGTCACGAATGGAAAGAAGTATTGGAACTGTAGATGAAATAGATAATAGATGAAGACGGCATATAATAGATGAAGGGGAGAAATACCTTAACAGGATACATGTACAGCTTGACACCGACGAGGGTGGCCAAGTTGGGGGTATCGTTGCCGAGAGCCAAGACGAAGCTGTCGCCTTCGATGAGTTCGTGCGACTTGGTCTGAATGGCCACGATGCGGTTGTCCACGACCAGGAGGTCGTCGATCTCGGTGTTGAGGCGGAACATTACGCCGGCTTGTCGGCAGAGATGGACCATGGCGTCGCACGTGCGGCTCACGTCGCCGTTGGTCCCGAGGGGCGAGAAGAGAGCGCCGCCCGCCATGGCCGTCGGAAGGATCGCGGGGTCGATCGCGGCGGCTTCGGCGGTGTCCACAGGATGCAGCGGGTACTGGAACTCGTGGACGCATTGCTTGATCCGGTCGGCCTGCCATGCGTCGTCCTTGTCCGCCGCCGTCGCAAACAGCTCCAACGTCCCCGTGGCGACGCGGTCCATGTGGTCTTCGAGCTCGGGATGCTTGCGTAGGACCTCGACCAACATGCGCTCGCTGTAGTTGCACAGGTCGCGGCACTTGCGCGCGTTGTCCTTGGCTTTGCGCGCCGTCGCGCTCGTCATGTACTTGAGTCCCCATGCCCAGAACGCTGGATCAAGCCATGCCGCCGCCGACACGTCAAACGGTTTCGCGTTCTTTTTGGTTTTGCTTGTCGTCATGTGCTTTCGGTACAGCAGCGACAGGTCTGCCCACGAGCTGTACAGCGTCGGGTCGTGGAACATGCCGCCGTCCCCGACGTGCGCCTCCTTCTCGATGCACACGACTTCATGGCCTTGCTTGGCAAGGAAGTAGCACGTGGTGAGGCCGACGATGCCGCCACCACACACGACGATGCGCTGGGACTGACACGTCTGCGGGCGAGGCGCGTCGACGCCGCGGGTGACGGCAGAGTGCCGTCTACGTCGTGTGCCGTTCATGGCTTACCAGACTACTAGTACGACGTGAAGTACGTAGCGCCAGTCGCCTTTCGCAGAATGGCCAATGTGGACAGTGGCAGCTGGATGACAAACGTTGACCTTAGTACACGGTACGCCGCATTCGAAAGTACAGTGACAACCAACAGCAACAAAGCTCACGTTGCGAGCCCCCCGACGATCAAGTCAAGGGGTATTAGTAGTACTAGTATGTAGCGCTCGCTCTCCACGACGAACGTACGCTCAAGAGTCACCTCGGACAGTATGTAACGATGCAACTTGCGTGTGTGTGTCTTGCTGTCCCAGCACTTTGTCGATGGTACAATATCTCACCACCACTCCAAACAATATCTCACCACCACGCCAACCCCGAGTGTGTGGTGGTGAGGTATTCACCACCCCCCTGACTTCAACATGATTTAAAACGTTTTAAATCCAGTTTCGAGCATGTTGTTTCTATGGCGAGGGTCGTGATTTCAAACAAACCACACGTTTGAAATCAACCCAAGGTCGTCAAGCGTGTACCTCCATGGCAACTACGTACTCCACCAGTAGTAGTGCTGCTGGTACAAGCTAGCTCCGTCGAAAGCCTCCGTCGATCCTACAGGACATACATATGGGGCGCCCGTGAGAGAGAGAGAGACAACTCGTCGACGTGGGATGCCGACGTGTTTCGGTTGGTGCGGTCCTAGTCGGAAGACGGAGGAGACACACAATATGTATATCGTCCATGTTCATCGTCTGCTATGTATATGCACATTAGAGAGCCATATCATCCAAAGCACATATCTATGCAAAGTCTTGCGTTTCAAACTTGGCCAGCGATAGGTACGCAACTTGGACAATGTTGCCTCCAAACTTGCGCCCCGTCAACGCCTACGATTCCCCATCAAGTCTGACGGTCCTTGTTGGAACGAGGAGACTCACCTTTGTTGCTGCTTGGGCGCCCGCCACGGCATCAAACCGCACAAACACCTTGCCCACGCCCAGCACAGTCTCACCAGCCTAAGTGCATATTGAATAATCAATTGCAACACTGCACCAGGACAAATCCTCATTCAAAACGGAAAGAATCCCATCTTGCACCAGGACAAATCCCATTCAAAACGGAAAGAATCCCATGTTGCACCAGGACAAATCCCCATTCCAGTCGAGAATATGTAATTACCTTGGGCCGAGGGATCTCCAACGCCACGACTTTGCCAAACTTGTTGCATTCTTCCTCAATGTCCTCCTTTAAATCTGCAAACTCGTCGTCGTCGGCCAGTTCCGACGGTTGCACCATGTTGCCCTACCATAAGCACATCATGATTCTACTTTCCCTGGCAGGGAAACCAAATGCCCATCCAGCACGTACCAACACAATGACTTGGGTGGGGGTCACCGCCGCCGCTACGTCGTCGCCCGCCTTCTTGTACTTGGGTAATGCCCCTTGCTTGGACGCGCGCTGCACCATGAGCACTTGGCCGCCCAGGTCCAACCCGTTGAGCCCGTTCATAGCTTCTTCCGTGATCGCGTTGTCTTCGTACTCAAACAAGGCGCTGCCCACGGACACGCCCTCTGCATTCCTCACGAGGGTAAACGCAGCCAGCGCCCCAAACGGTTCCACCAGTTGCACCACCTACAACACGATGAGGAATAATCCCAACGCAACCCCACGTGGATGGGGGGAATCATCCCAATGGACGGACGTACCTGATCTTCTGTGAGCACCGTCGGGATGTTGGCCATGAGCAACCGATTCGATGTGTTGTCGGGGGGGATGTGAGCCGGGTCCCCATACACGTGGTTGTCGCGGATGGCGCCGGCGTCTTTCAGACCGCAAGCGGCCGACCCGCCCGCAAACCACATGGGATTTGGGATGCATCCCAAATTCACCAACGCGGTTTGGGTGCGGTTGGTCACGGTGGGCATGGGCTGGGCGGGTCCGACGAACGACCGCGGGCGGCCAAACTTGAGCTGCCGCCCCAACAGGTTGAGCTGGTTCAACATGAGCGCCAAATTGCATTCTTCGACGGTGCGCATCTCGCAGAACGCGTACATGCCGTCGGTGGAGATCCACGTGCTGAGGATGGGGTTGCCCGGCTGGCCTTGGAGCGCCAACCCCACTTGCTGGATGATCGTCCCGAGAAAGTCCTGCAGTTGCGTCGCAGTGACATTGGGGGGGAGGTTTCCCACGTACAGTTCGCGCATGGGCTTCAACGAGACCACCGTGGACAGTGTGTTTTGACTTTGCGACATCTTGCCCATGATCTCTTGAATGCTCAACGACGGGTATTGCAACATCATCTGCGTAATCGTGGGCTGATTCGACGGGGGCGCGACGTCCACGGGTGGGATCGCATTCAAATCATCTGTCGCCGCAGGGGGCGCTGTCGACGATGCGGGTTTGGAGTCGGCAGACGGCGACCGGCGGTGGCGATGGCGGTCGTCGCTGCGACTGCGACTGCGACGAGACGAGCGTTTGCGATCATTCGAACGACTAACTGAGCGCCGGCTGCGACGACTGCTTTCTCGTCGATCGCGTCGGTCGTATGAGCGCGACCGGGAGCGGCGGGAAGACCGATATCGCGGGGAATAACTTCTCGAGCGACGGCTACTACGGCTGGATTTGCGGTCCTTGTCGTCGTCCTTCCTGTCCCGTCGACTGGACTTTCTATCCTTGTCGCTTCGATCACTGCGATCTTTGTCCTTCCGGCTGCTCTTGCGCTCCTTCTCGCGATGCGAAGTCTCGTTGTCGGAACCTTCCGCCATGATGATCCACACAATTTCGAATTTGCCAACACGTTCTGTGGTGGAGGATCCGGATACCGTTTTATCCGGATGCATTTGCCTTTTTACCAATCGGCATTTGAACGCAACATGAAGCGATCACTCTTCCTGCATGTGGATCGGCACTGAAGCAGTCCAACTTACTACGGCGGACGAAGAAGACAAATGAAAATGGAATGTACATGCATCCTTCCAAGTGGACGGATGGGTGTGCATATTGCATTATGATGCCTGCCGACGGAGACTTACTCGTCGGCAATGTCGTCGTCGTCGTCGTCGACCTTGTACATTTGGTGGATGTAATACTTCATGTCGTTGATGATCGTCGTCTTCTCCGCTTCCGTTGCGGCGTCGTACATGTCTTCCATGACGTCGCTTTTCTTGGCGAGCGCAAGCGCGTTGAAGTACGACGTCCATGTCACTACATACCGCCCCACATCGGTGTATATCCTCATTGACACGGCCACGGGACAAGACACTGACCTGGCAACTCGATCGGCTCGTAGTTTGCGGCGGGAATAGGCTCCATCTGTTCAATCGAGTACCGGCCAATGCGGGAAGCTACTCGCAGTGCATGAACATGACGATGTGGTGACTACGACTTACGAGTTCCTCCGTTGGACAGAATCGTGAGGAACCGCATGAAGAACGAGAACCGCTCGGCTTTGGTTGAAGCATTCCAAAACTTGACCAAGATCGCAAGTCGCAACTTCTTGTCTACATCTCGTGTCACAATCACTTGTCATAGCACGAATGAGTACCTGAGATGTTGTGGTAAATGTCGTTCCAGTCCTCGCGGCTGTGGATAGTCCGCTATATTACACCAAATCCACGAATGAAGAAGGTTCATATGGAGGGAATGGATATATCGATCCACCTCACGATCTTCCTTGTCTGCAGCTTTCTTCGTGGCCGCAACTTTCTCGACAACGTCGCGCTTCTTCCCACCATGTTTGACTGCCAACTCATACGCGTGCTGCGCTTGTCGAGGTTGATGCAATGCTTCATGGACTTGGCCTTTCCGAATGTGGCCCTAATGCAATCGCGGACATGGCATTCAATTGGCGTGGAGCAGTGGACGTGCATACCTTGAACCATGTCGGGTCGAGTGAAATCGAGGATTCCGCATCCTTCAATGCTTCCTCGTACTTTTTTTGATGGAATCGTGCCGCCGACCGATTGCTAAACAGGGCCTATCCGCGAGGTTGATTCCATCTTTAATCAACCCGTCCAAACTACGTACATGTTGCTTGGCATCTTGCAGGATAGCTTTCGAGTAGAGTGCTTCTGCTTCATCGAAGCGCTTCGCTTCGAATGCAGCGTTCCCTTGTTCCTTCAACTCGTCGGTGGTGGTGCTCATGGCCTTGTCCGTGGAAATGGAAGTGGAAAGATTCGTCGGTTTCACGTTGAAAATGTTTGTATGGAAAAAGACACCGATTCGAAATGTATGTGACCAAGTTTAACGACGGTAAAAAGGGTTAAAGCCCTATTTTACCCTCGTTCAACTCGATAAAACAAACATTAAAACAAACATTCTGTCCCTACTAACGACAGAATGTTTGTTTTATCTCGTAAAAAGGGATTTGAAAACGACGTTTAATTAAGAGTAATATTGTAAAACAACGTTGTTGGTTACATAATTGCACGCGCGAAGATCACTTTTGCTTGCTGTCGAAGCGCGAGATGCAGATGGCGAATGCTTGGAGCATGGAGAGAGGGTACTGGAAGTCCATGTTGAAGCAGTTCGTGCCCACACGACCCATCTGAAGCATGATGTGCTCCTGGGGTACGCTCACCGTGCTCTCGTCGTCGTAATGGTACGTCGGATGTGCTTGAATGTACGCCTGGAAACGTCATGAGGTCATGGATAGTTGATAGTATGCATCATGCAGTGAACGGAGCGAATGATCTCGTGGAGGTGGAGGAAGGTACCTGTCGGTACTTGTCTTGGTCCGTGGGCTGCGAATGCACCAATTGAAAATTCTTCACCGAGACACTCGTCGCTCGACTGCGAAAGTCCACAATGCACGAGCTTAGGGGGTCATACTGCGACTCCCGTTTGTGCATGCAAATAAACTTGTCACGTTCCAGCACGTTTTGCCCTCCCTACGATGTTCCTTCCAGAGGCTGCATCAAGCCAACGAAAGGTTGACAAACCTGTTCCGCAACCTCCGTGAACAATGCCTCGAACGATTGGTCCCTGGAGATTGGGCGCCAGTCCAAGTACGACTTGATGGGCTCGTCCGCCGTCTCATGCTCCACGATCGCAGGTACGATCACTTCCATCTTGCGCGGGAATTCCTACATCAGGGCTACCTGTCATATCCAACCATCACGAGAACGTCCACAACACTACCTTCTTCATAGGGTGGTATCGAATCACTGCCATTTGCGCGCGAATGTGTTGGCGCACTTCTTCGTCGATTTCGCAGTCGGAATCGATGTCTTCGGGGTTGTCGCCTTGGTCAAACAGCGTGTATTCCATCTTGCGCGTGTCGCTGCGCAGTTTTCCCACAAACTGCTTGCTTCGAAGCGACCTCGACAAGAACAAGTCCTCCCTACGCCAATCAACTTCGATTCGGGAGTTGTGGTGTATGCGTACTTGTTCAAGCTGAAGATAAAGTGCGACGAAATCCGCGACGTGGGTTTCTTGCGCGCGTACAAGATGGGCCTGCCTTTCGAACTGTTGATCTCAATCAACATGGTGTACAGCGGCGACAGCTACGCCCCCACACAAACACATACAAGTCATGAGCTACAGTCATCACCACCACCATACCCCATGTCCATACCTTGTTTTGGCCGCTTCGATTGCGCTCGATGAAGCAACGGACCACATGCCCCCGTCCCACTTCCAGCGGGTTGACCACAAACTCGAGCAGCTGGTTGGGGACGTATGGCACGCGTTTGGGGTTGAACAACTACCATGATCCCGTCAGACTCCCTCGCATGGCAACCCAGGTCGGACTCACCTCGAACGCTTTCTTCTTGTCTTCCGCGTGTTGCTTGGGCTTTTTCGACCGCTTCTTGGGCTCTCCGTCGGGCAGCTTGACGTCGTCGATGGACCCTGCGGCGGCTTTGACGTGGTGTCGATGTGGCTTGGCATCCCCATCGTCCATATCGTCCATATCGTCCATATCGTCCATATCGTCGTCGTTGTCCTCCACACTCGGACCTGGCGCCGTCGCTTGGCCCAGCGTCTCCAACTGCTTCATTTCTTGGTACAGCGCGTCCGTGAGCGCGGCTTTGGATGTCGTGATGGGAGCATTTCCACTGTTATTGTTGTTGTCCAAGATGTGGCGGTCGTCAGGCTTTTCGTCGCACGGCGCCTTTTCCATGACAATTTCAGGATCGTCGTCCTCGTCGGCCCGATCTTTTGGGGCGGCCATCATCATGGTGGTGTCCAAGATCGGAATGTCTTCGATTTCGTCTATCGAGTCGTCGTCGTCGTCATCGTCGTCGTGTAGCACAGCCTTGGCAACGTCGTCCTTCTTCATCACAATGGCTTTGCGCACGGTCAGCTCTTCCTCGACGTGCTCCCGCCGCATGGTCATCGACTGCGGCGCGGCTTTGCCCGACGTGTGAGAGCTCACGCTCGAGTACATGGACGTGTTGTTCTTGGACACCAACATGGACGCGTCCTCTGTCGACGACAGCGCCGGCGATGTAACTTTCTTGAACGCAGTGTCTTCCTGGAGCAGCTCGGTCGCCGTCTTGCGCGGCTTGCTGCGGGTGTCCATGATAGGCTTCATCTCGGATGCGACAATATGCTGCACGTGACTTCGCTTTTCAACCATAACGGGTGCATCACCACTGGTTGGTTGGTCTCCCTTTGCATCCCCAGATGACGCCGGTGCTGCCGTCATTGGATCGCCTAGGACGTCTTGTGCCGGTGGTTTCTTCTTTGGTTTAGGCGGCGCTGTCGACGGAACCTTGGCGGGTGGTGGATTTCCACTAAGAGTTGCGCTCTTTGCCTGGTCTTTCTCGTCGACCGAGTCGTTGCCAGTTGGTGGGGCGGTTGGAGCAGGGGAGGATGGAGGCGGCACCCGTTTCTTGGGTTTGGTTTGAGCTGCTTCTCCCCCTTTGGCTTCGGCTCGAATCTTTTGGATAGACACACTCACGGCCTTGGGTGGTGGAGACGACGGCGGTCCAGCCTTGGCTCGCAGCGCCGCCGCGGCTGATTTGGGTGGCGCGCCAGATGGCGGCGGTGGGGCCTTCTTCTTCCTTGTCCCCTGCACCAACGCAAGCACGTGTAAACATCCACTCTGTCCACCACAGCAATCCAACATATTCGTACCTCTCCGGGCGGCGGGGCAGATTTTGGCGGGGCCTTTCGAGGTCTGTACATCAATCATACAAAGGTGGGTGGTCAGGAAAGCATGCTGCGGGCTCTTCTGTCTCGATCAACACATTCGAAACACGTACGTGACATCCCCACGTGCGGCGTCGTCGTCTGCCATCTCCAAGTCGTTCCAATTGCTCAAGTTTGCTTCAATGTGTACTTGTGACGGCGGTTTCCCAACCCGTTACTTCGCCAAGCCGAAACCCCTTGGCATACGTTGCGCAAGTCAAAGTGCCGTTTCAAAAAAGTCTATTCATTAGATATGTCTCTATTCTTCATGAGGCTCTAGGTTGAACGGGCCTCGGGACAGCCGGCGAGGGGCGTGCGCGTGGCCACATCCTGCACGAGTTGGTCCGACAGCTTCTTGCCGTGCATGTACGCGCGCATGTGCAAGATCGGGACGACGCCAATCTCGGAAATGCTCTTGTTGTTGATGCGTTCACTGTATGATTGGGGATGGTGTGCCGCCAGCGGGTCCGTGTCCTAGCCATACCATACAGCGTGTCCATCAGTCCCACACGCTAGACAAGTGTCTGTCTACACAACATACCGTGGACAAATCGACGCCTTCTGCCACGTCAAACAGTGCGTCCAGGTCGTTCATCTTCATAAACGGACACGTGGCGCATCCCCCGGCGGACGAACAGCCTTCGCCGCCTTGGACACCCGGGACCACGTTGTCGCCTTCGGTGGCAATCGCATCTGCCGCGACGGGGAAGATGATTTCCACTTGGGGCGTGGTCGCGGACGACGTGCCCTTTGCCAACGCGGCTTGGACGCTCGTGGCAATCGATGTAATCATGCCAGCCTAGGCACATATCCCGACATGAGCCACGATAGTTGAAACGAGCTACACGTCGAGTACTGTATGCACACACCTCTGTGCCAAGAATGAAGCGAAGGCGTTCGTTCGAGCCAGCATCAAGCGCCGCCGCCGTCTTGTCCTTGATGAAATTGAGGATGTTCGAGGTCGACCCGACAACGCCGCGGCCGTCATTCTGTGCTTCCATCGCCAACGTGAACATTTCGCCCGGCACTTCGAAATGGGCCGTCGTGTACACGTCGGCATAGTCTGATCGGACGCGCTTGGTGACTTTGTCGCCAAACATGTGATGCACCACGCAGTTGCCTTCCTTGAAGTAGTCGAATCGCGATAGGAGCGACTTGATCCTACCCGTCCAACCAACAACGTCAAACAACGTCTAGGAAGAGGAGGCAGCATGCAGGAAGTGGACGACGTACGTGGCTTGGGTGTGGGCAGGATGGATTTTGCGGATCTGATCGTCGGGCAACGTGGCGATGTTCTGGAACATTTGCTCGAGGTTCTCACCCATGTACGTGTCGGGGCCGTAGAAGATGGACACGTCCGGCACTTGCGCCGCCGCTTGCAAGATGGTCTGCACCACGTTCGACGACGTGCATGTGATCGTGGGGATGATGTGGTGCGCCCACGCCTTGCTCTTGAGCGATGTGTTGATGTACACGACATGGAGACTGTTGGGGGTCTTGGCCGCATTGGTCAAGTACGCCAGATACGCTTGCTTTTCCGCCGATTCCGCTAAACTGCACCCAATCTTCTTCTTGGACAACCGGTACACGGGAACGTCGTGGTATCCGTTCGAGTCCAAGTTTGCACGCACGCTTTCCGACATGAAGTCCACGCCCAAGCATGCAATCGCTTTGGCGCCGTTCTTCGCCATCACGGCGGCGGCTTCGCCCATCGCGAGCGAATCTGCGATCAGCGTATGCGGCCACTTCAACTGGCTGAGGACACCCTAAAGAAACACAAGGAATTTTAGATGGGTGTGATGGAGGAACATCATGAAAGTTTATGGGGCAATGGTATACTTGGAGTTCCGGGTCCATGTAGAAATGCGCGACGATGCCGAGTTGCTTCTTGGCCAACAACGTGTCGAGTTCACCCACGGCTGCCAAGTCCGGCTTCAAGTACTTGGCTTGAGATTCTGCGAACGAGCCTTGCGCGGTGATCCCGTCCTTTGTGATCTACGGGATGTCACATGAGCATTACGTTGGGATTCATCATGCACACGCACAAGGATGGATGGGAAGGGCTTGTCCCACGACGCAGAGAAGGAGCGAGTAGTCAGCGGCTTGGACACACGGGTGGCGACGGCGCTGTGGCGGAGAAAGGCGCGCATGGTGGGCTTGTGATGTGCGGTGGCGAGGAAATTGAATTGTGCACTGGCTGCCCATGGAATTCGCCATCTTGAAATCCGACACATTATCCGGATCAATGTGGCGGTTATTTTTATGATAAAATCAATTCACACGTTGGTTTTGTATGTGAATCCATTAAAATGAGTAAACATCGTCGCCATAAATTTGTCGCAGGCCCAACAGCTGGAAGTTACAAATGACTCACTCACACTATTTAGTTCCAAACACTATATGCCGATATGAGTCATCGATGCAAGGTCCGCCTAACTCCGCCGCCACGCTAGAAAGCACCGCCATTACGATGTGAGGTCGTGGCTCATGTGAGAGATATCCATCGGATACATTCATGTGGCGATGTAATTCCAAGGGATATGAAGAGAAGCTGGCTTACGTTGACATTGAAGTTCAAGCAGAGGTTGCGACCTTTTAATAGTGTACGCATACATTCCGCACCAAATCACGGGATAACTTTTTTCGAAACGCCGGATATAAAAGTCACCCACTTTTTCAGGCCTGCCTACACGTAATCGCGGCGATGGTCGATCTCGACTTTCACATGCTTGCGGTGTTGGGGGCGCTGCGTCTTGATCATATCAACGTAGTGGTATACACTCACACAGAGTCGGCCAAGGTAGTTCTGTCGCCAGCTTCCGCTTTCACGATGGAGGTCGTCGGTCTCGTTAAAGGTGCAGCCAGCAGCGCGGAACTCATGCGTCGTGCGGTTCTTTGCGGCGAGAACGAGGTGGAATATAAAGAGTCCAGCGGCGCAGAGACCCACTAGGGTGTAGTAGGATGCTGCTAGGACACACCATAACGTCGCTTCGGGGTCCATGTGCATCCATGTCGTGTACCACATCCACGCTAATGACAGCGCCGCGATGGACATACAGATGGTAAATGCAAGGAAGAACGTGTAGTTGTTACGGCCCACGCAAGTGCCCAAGAAGGGACAGCTACGAGAGAAACGAACGTCGTGAAAAGCACCCCACCGAAATGACGTTGTATCGAGCGAAATGGAACCATCGTACTGGTGGTCGAACAAGAGCACACAGCGATGGCATACATTGCAGTGCTTGGAGCGGCGCGGCTGGGCCACGTGGCATGTATGGCAAAACCGTCGCAGCCGTTCGTCTAATGGTTGCTCGCCCTGGTTTCTCGCCAAGTTGCTGGCATCGTCGCCTTCATACTCTTGGAGCAAGCAGCGCTGCATGGTCGTCGTGTATTCCTCGACATATTTGCGGTCGTGGGCCACTGTGCCTGGATCTAGCCACGCAGCGCAGCCAAAGAAGAACCACGTGACAGCAAGAAGCACAGAGTGCCACGTCATAGCCGTGGCCAAGCCATCGTAGCGCGAAAACACACCGCCGTACCAACAAGGCACGACCAGCAAATTCGTCGCTTGAAACACAATCGGCAGCCGGCGAACGAGCCGGGGGAACCGACTTCGCAAGGCATGGCGAATCAATCGGAGGACGCTGCGGCGGCGATAGAGGCGCGTCTGGAGGACCGCGGCGGCCGCTCCGTGGCCTTTAGAGCGAGCTAGCGCCAACGGCGTCCGGCCCTTGTCGTCCTCGCCCTCCATCGCGACATTCACTTCGTCCACCAAGAAGGCCACTATCTCGGCATGGCTATATCCAATACAAAAATTGAGTTGTGAATCGATTGGGGACTCACCCGCGAACAGCCGCGAGATGCAGCGGCGTCTGCCCAAACCCGTCTGGGACGTGAAAGAGCAAAGTGTCGACGCCAAGAGCGTCAGCGTAGGCATAACACACCCGAAGGGTTTCCAACAAGCCTTTGTACGCACTCCAATGCACAACCGTATCCTACCAACCCTTAGCGGTCAAATGGCACTAGTTTTGTCATACCCCTGACTGGTCCACCCTGCTGGCATCGGCTCCTTGCCGGAGCAAATACAACACCTAGTCGAAAGAAGTTAACGATACTGCCACGGTTGAGGTGCTGACGTGGCACCACGAGAGAGAGATACGGATGCCATCTTGCCGACTTTGTACCGTTGCGAGATGACCATGTTGCACAGCCAAAATCAACGGCGTGCGTTGCTTGAATGAATCGGGGGCGTTGAGCAACTCGCGATGCGCCTGTAGCAACGTTCGCAGCACGGGGAGGTTGTTGGCGGCGGCTGCCCAGTGGACCGGCCACAGGCCGTTGTCGTCCGGGGTGTCGACGGATGCTCCGTGGTCCAGCAGGAGTTGCAGCAATGGCGGCGCACCGCGCTGGGCGACCCAGTGGAGCAGCGAGCACTGGTTCCGGTCGGACACATTCGCCCACGTGGGATTATCTAGCAATGTCATGTGCAAGAGCTCCATCGTCATGTCGACTTCGTTAGATGATGGAAGCTCAGTCGGTGGCGGTGGGTCGGACGTGCCGCGACGGAGACGCGGCTTGCCGTCGGCGTCCAGTGACGGACTCGAAGCATGCCGGAAGGTCGACGGATGGAGTCTCGGGGCTTCGGCCTGCACAAACGCGAGGAATTCATCTGGCGACTGCATATTCGATATCGCGGAGTGTACTACTTACTATTCACAGGCTATTTATATGCATCAACTTGACGTATAGCCATCTCCTGGCCACTACGGAATACACAAGACGCGTGCATGAAGGGCTTCCATCACGAATGACACAGGACTGATAGAACTGTGGAAACTAAGATGTAAGAATTACAGGACATCCAAGATGGCCTCGTCCTGGTGGTAGCAAATATTGGCCGACGCGTTGATTTCGGTGTTTCGCAGCACGATGGCACTTTGTTTCAGGCGCTTGGTTGGCCGTTCGTGTCGCCGCGAGAGGCGGACGTCCAGTGCATCCATACAGAAGTCGACGATCTCCTTCATTTGATGGCCGGCTTTCTTGAGGATCTCGACGCGCTCTTCGCGGGTGTAGCGGTGCAGACCGGTTTGGCGGGGTCGTTTGCGACGGAGGGATCGGCTCTTGACTCGCAGTGGTTGACCAATGAGACCAACGGCCGGTCCGTTGAGCGATGGGATGGCACTGCCACCGTGGCCTAGCGCAAAGCGGTACTCGGTCACGCCGCCAAAGGCAACCATGCGGCATGGGCGCGGCATGGGTGTCGGAGTCGTCAAGGCCAAGGGAGCGGCGGTAGTTGGGGCCTGGTGGGACATGGCCGTGGAAAGAAAAGTACCATCCGCTGCCATTCAACCATTACAAGACACGAAGAAACATTCTTTTTCGGAGTATTATTCATCCCATCACGGGAATGTGGCGGTGACTGGCGACGAGGCGAGGCGGCGCTTCGACAAGTATACAAACACCAAGTCACACGGCTGAAAACGTTGGCAACTTCGATTCTCATGGCGCAATTTAAAAAAAACAGTCCAATAATATAAATGTCAAATCGAATGCAGCATACAAACACATAGGTTAAAAGCTTCGCTTTAAAGTAGAGAATCGACACATGGTTGTCATTTTTAAAAGGATCTCCAGAAACCTAACGCACCCCGATCTTTGGGAAATGGCCAGTTACGATGACTATATTATATCTTGCAGTTTGTATTGTATTGAATACAATACAAAATGCAAGTGTATTATTGCGTTGAAATTTGGAAATAACGTACTCAGTCGATGGCGCCAACCGTCAAAACAGCGGCACGAAAGATGTGGATTGGCCGACCAGATATCTGCGAAGGATACCTGGAAGGAGGAACATGGCAAGCAGAGATGGAGGAAGTGGAAATGCTGCATGAGCATTATTAGAAGCATTTGGCATGTACGATGCGTGCACCATGGAGGCGGAAGTCTTCTTGGAGGACCCATTTGTATGGCGACAGGTTCTTCGCATGTGAGGCGGCGCCGTCAAACACGTTGGTCACCACCTGGACATGCACCTCTTGTGCTGCTGTCGAGTTGGCTAAAAGTTCCATCTTCAAGCGGTCCGCGAGTCCAGGAAGGGCGGCGGCACCACCTGTGAGCACGATGTTCCCAAAGAGCGCGGGATGCAGGAACGGGTCGCAGTGCTTGACACATGCGCGCACAGCCATCGCCAAGTCTACAGAACCTTGAAAGAACACATCGCTGATGGACGCAGGCCAGTCGTCCTCCCGTCGCCCTTCCTGCCAGATGGACATGATTATGCGCGTGCCTTAACGTTACTGGGGCAGTAACTACGTACCATCAAGCTGCGTTCAATCTCGGCCAAGTGGGCGGTCCCAGACACTGCTTGGAAGCATTTCATTGGATTTGTGTGGCGAATGTGAGCTAGGATATGGCTGGCCACGGCGCTTCCGCCGCCATCTAGCGTCACCACGGCATGTTCGAGCTACATCATCCACCAGATGGACCATGTCCTTGTTAGCGTCATGTCACTTGATCATCATGGAGCCATCGATCGCCCGATTCGTACCACCATATCCTCAAACACTGGCACAAGGTACGTCGAAGTGTGTCCGATGTCAACGACCAAGCCAGTGTGACCCGTAAGAGCTACTTGGGTGTGGGTGGTCAAGTTTACACCCTGGAGTTGGAACCCTTGGAGGAGCAATGTCGTCAGATGTTCCTTTCGACTTGGCTCTAACCGAGGCTTGTGCAGTAGCACGACCTATACAGTGCCCATATATATCAACGTGGTGACGACATTGGTGACGACACCTTGACAAAGGGAAGGTGCGCGGCCGACAGCCCGAGCCATTCAAGCGCCTTAGCAACTTTCCCAGCAACGTCGTTCTTGTCATCAAGCGTAGAGTTCTACAAGAAGATGGAGCGTGACATGTCAAATCAGTACTACTTGAGGGTATATATATACTACTGTAAGTATATGAATACCTCAAAGCGAAGGATGGATGGAGGGGAAGACATGGTCGTAGTGCCATACAGCAGCGGGAGGAGGCTGGCGCGGACTTGGGTGGCTCCCACATCCAACAGCACGATGCCGCCACCGTTGAACGACGTGGTGGCGGCATCGATACTACTTGACGAAGGATGGAGCAGAGGTCGATGCACCGGTCGCCGTGGAGCTGCCGCCGTGGACAAGGACGTGAGGAAGGGCGTGTCACGCCTGGATCGAATGGACACGGACGTGTAGAACGACGTTGCTCGGGTGGTGGTGCACGGATCCAGCAACGTTGCTAGCAACCGCCCTAGACTCGTGAGTCCATGGACGACGTCCACAACAGGATGGGATGCGGTAGGGTCGTGCTGGTCGTGGGTGTGTAAGGTCATGACAAGGCGTCGCTTGAGTCGGCCCACAAGACAGCGGCGTTGCTGGGGTCGTTGCTTGATTGCGGCTACAACTGTGGCTGTGTGACTTAGCAACTCTTCGATGTGATTGGCCAACGCTTTCCACGTGATCAACGGAACGTCTATCGCTTCAGGGATGGACAGGTACATGGCGTGCACATCGTTGCTACTGGCAAACTCTCGATCTGTAGACTCAGGTGTTGCTGATTCTGATTCTGATTCCACGACAGTATTGCCTCCTGATTCCGTTGGTTGTGTGTTGGAACCACCCCGCAAGTCTTGCATAAGGCATGAATGATGGTCCAGCGAGAGTTGTGCAGTCGACAGCCAACACAGCGCGTGGTGCTCATCAGTAGCAGCGTCTACGCCATCGGGCTCTTCTGCCGTTTCAGAGCCTGATTCCACGACTACTTGCAAACCTGATTCTGCGGTTTGCGTGCCCGAATCTTGTCGTCTTCCTGACGCTGATTCCGGTGTTTGAGTCGTTGGGGCCACATGTCGAGTTGCTTGTGCCACGGAGAGGGTCTTCTTGTCATTTTCACTCAATTTCACAGTGACACGGTGATTCTCGAGGGTCAGATCCCTCAACTGGGCCCGCAGTGCATCGTTTTCAGCTGTAGCTGTGTCGAAGTGGCATTGTAGTAGCTCAGGGATCGTTTGGGTCGTGGGATGATCCGTCCGTTGTGGCGATTCAGTTGGTGTTGGGGGTATTTCTACTGATTCTGCAGCGGCGACGGAGGCTCGCATATCCAGTAAGTCCACTGTGAGTCGATGGTTGTCCAGGGTTAGGTCGGTTAGTCGGGTACACAGCGCGTGGTTTTCCGCGGTCGCAGCGTCTAATCGGCGCTTGAGTGACGTCAGTCTTGGGTCGGTCGTCGAAGTGGGGGACATGGGGGGAGATGACGTGGCCATAGCCAGCTGGGCTTGCAACGAGTGCACTTGTTTTGTCCGTTCGTCTAGAACTTGCTCGTGGACTTGCCACGTCCATTCGAGATCATGCGGCATCATCATCGTCGACTGCGACGGCCGTGATAAACCACGTGCTGAATCGGCTATATTTAGCCGACTCTGGGACATTTCCGCTTTAGCTCGTGTAACGACCGAGTGTGGAGTGGACGTTCTTGGATCGAGTAATGTATGTGCATCGTGCAATATGGCTGAAGAAGGGGCAGTGGGGAAGCAGCCGTCGAGCTCTAGTTGCATGCTCTGCACGTAATGCCTCCACTTCAGCTCGCGCTTGTGCTGTATGCGACACTGCGACGCGGTTCGCTCCACTTGTAAAGTGCCGTTGGTAGACTTCAATGGAGCACATTTGCCCTCGACTTGTTTGCGTTCTTGGCTTGCCTTGGACTCAACGATCAACGCTGTGTGCAGCCTGTCGAGTTCCCCTCGCTGGGATTCGCATTGGCTGAGACGGTGTTGAAGTTGGTTTTCCAGTTGCGCTGTAGAGTCCGCTTCACGTTGTCGCAAAGAGCCCACGGTAGCTCTCTCGTTCGTGAGCAACGTGGACAACTCGGCGAGTTGATTGGCCAAAGCCGAGCTTTTACCCTCGAGGAGCTTGTTCTTGGCTGCCAAGTCGTCTATAGTACGCAAGTGCATGTCGTTGAGACTTGTCAGCGTCTTAACTTGATGGGCGACTTGTTGATATCGATCCAACGCTCCATCCATTTCCAATTGCACACTTCGCAAAGCATGCACCCACTTTGCACTGTCCTTGCCTTTTTGACTGGCGATCGTTTGGGCGAGGTCGAGTTGCTGCTTGAGTTGCTCCGTTGCTAGCTCATACTGCGCCTGGTTGTGCTCCACCGTCCGTTGCCACTGGTTGGACTTGGTTTCATTGGCTTGGAATGACGTCGCCAGTGTCATTTCATACTGCTCCTGCTGCACTTCCATTTCAAGTGCAGCAGATCGCCATTGATGGATCGCCCATAGACTGTCTCTGTGGTTATTTCTCCTTCGTTTCGTAGGTTCGAGCTGGGGAAAAACACCCCCTTGGCAAGTTTTGTCATCCCCAAGCTTAAGGAACGAGTCGGCAATCTGTGGGACAGCAATTAGCTCGTCATCATGATAGGGTGTGCCTTGGACTAGCAGTGTTGGGGATGGTGAATCCTCCACAGATGTTGTTGTTGGGGATGGTGATGATTTCGACTGGAAGAGCGACAGCTCCGATTCCAATTGCATGGCCCACAACGCATGCTGCAGTCGACTGACTGTGCGATCTTTGGATTGAACTCGGGTCTTCCAATGCTCGACTTGAGCTTCGTAGGTCGATTCCAGGGTCTTGAACTCTGTTTGCAGCGACGCGACCAACGTAGCTTCGTTGGCCAATCGGTCAGCTTTGAATGTGTCATACTCGATTCGGTTTTGATCGAGCAATGTCTTGAGGTGCTGGCATTCCGACCGACACGCGGCGACTTCGAGTAAGCTCTGCGCGTTGGCAGCGTCGCAGCGTTCCTGAAGAAGTGTTTTAGCACTGTCGGAAGCCGCCAACGCGCTGAGCAACGCACCAACTTCGTGCTGCTTGGTCGCCATTTCCATCTCCAGTTGGTGAATCTGGTCTTGCCGACATTGCAAGTCACAAACTAGACGGCGGTGCTGATCTATTTGGGCACCTACGTGAGATTCCGTCAGCCGGCGTTCATCTTGGAGTTGTTCGAGCTGGCATTCCAACGCCTCTACTTGCGCCAGGTGCTGTTCTGACTTTTCCGCCACCTTGGCTTCCCAATTCGAGCATTCCACTTGGAGTAGTTGGGCTTGTCGACGTTCCAAGTCGTTCACAATGTGTTGGTGCTGGTCGGACAGGTCAACCAAGCGGGTTTTCCAGCCGCTGCATTCCGCTTGGAGCTGCTCTTGCCGGTGTTCCATGTCGAGCACTAATAACTGATGCTGTTCATGTTGCTGAAGCAGTTTGCTGTTCAAGGTTTGGCATGCCAGGTTCACATGATCAAGTTGGCACTCCAAGGCCCGCACAACGGCGTCATGCTGCTCCGTTTCTTGACGGAGTTGTGCTTGATTCTTCTTGGTGTATTCCACCTCAAGCTGACTTAGTCGGGTCTGTAGCTCAAGCACTTGACTTTCGTACGTGTGGCATTCCGCCTTGAGGTGCTCTTGTTGACATTCCAACGTGCGAACCATGTGTTGGTGTACCGTTGCTTGGTCAAGCAACTGGCTCTCCAAGTGGCGAACCTCCCGTTCGACCTGGCCGTGTTGGTCCTCCCAACCCCGCGCTAGATACTGGTGTTGTTCTCGTTCACTGGTCAATTGGGTCTCGTAGGACGTGCATTGCTCTCGAAGTTGCTCCGACACTCTCGTCGCAGCGTCGACTTTGTCATGGAGATACCGACACGAGTCCATCCACACAGCTTTTTGACGGGCATACTCCTGGACCACACAACGCTTGAGGCCAAGCAGCACTTGGTGAAAACCAGCCGATTCAACTACGGCGTTGATGTTTACAGCTTCCGAGAGTGCACTGCGACGATCGCTGCTTCTTGACTGGATCGTGTCCATGTGATTCCATTGGCGGTGGTCATCGTGGCCGTGGTTCTCTATATCGTGGTATGCTTGCTTCCATTCGTCCACTGCCATACTAAGCTCAAGGTCGTGTTGTTCATGATCGTGAATAGACTGCACTTGCAGCACCAACTTGTCCAGTATGAGCGCGCAGATGCTTTTCTCGGACTCGGCGGCTTCAAGTTTGACCCACGCGACCGACTGCTCCAGCGCGTCCTCGTTCATTTTCAGCATCTCAGTGGTCATATTCATCACGTCTTGGTGTGTGGCTTGCATTTCGTGGGCGACGGTCAACTCCTCGCGAGTTTGCACCAGCTGCTGGCGACACTGGTCGAGTTCGTTGCGATCCCGTGCTAGGTTGGACGTCAATGTGTGACATTGCGCTTTCGTCGACGCCAGCTCTTGTTGGAGGGCCGAGAACATGCCGTGCCATTCGCACATGAGCACCACTCGGTCCAGCGTGTGAGCCACCATCAACTCGTCAGTGGATTCTCCACAGTACCGCAACGCTGTGGCTAGTAAAGGTTGGTGAGTAGTTCTGCCCACTTGGAGCAGTCTCTGGCTTTGGGTCGTGCCTTGAGCCAACTGCAATTGGAGTTCTCGTGCGGTTTGCTGACGGGCTGTACATGTCGACTGGGCGGCCAACTTGCCCTGCAGGACGACGATCTCGCTGGTGATTTCACGGACACTTGTGGTTAACGTGTGGTTCTCGTGTTTGCAAGCGGCTAATTCACGTTCGACCAATGCCGTAAGGCTCCGACTCGCGTCGACTTTAGTCTCTAGGTCCATGCGCAGCTGGGCAATCAAGTCATCCCGGTCGCTCAGCATGGCGTCCTTGTCCTTATGAACCAGCGCTTGGGCGGCCTCCTGTGCTTGGATAACGGCTCGCTGGTCTTCGTAATATCGGACAGTTTCCGCGGTAGTGGCTTTGGCATGCGATAGGCGGCCCTTGAACGTCTCTACGTCGTGCTCGAGGCTGTAGAGTTGGCCAGCAACGCGTTCTTTGAACGCAGCAAACGCACCAAGCAGTGCCGATCCACACTCGTCTGTCGTATGTTCAACTAGACAGTCGGGATTTCGCAAGAAGATATCCGACGACATGGACGAGTCCTTCTCGCTAGAAACAGTGCCAAGCACTAGGTCGTTGGCCAAGAGGTGACAAACACTGGACTTGGCACAAAAGGCAGCCATGTCAGCTTGGAGGTGGGAGCACACGTATTGGAATCGCTGGCGGACGTCGGCCAATTCGCGGGATTGGTGGAGCAACTCTGCTTGGAGGGTGGCCGAGTCGTGGCCAAGCGTTTCAAGCGCGTTGGTAGCCGCCGACAGCTCGCGCGTTAATGACGTGGTGGTGACTTGTTTGTCGAGCAATCGATGCTCCAGCACGCCGATGTCTGTCATTCGCTGCACCAGTTCGCCTTCAAGTGCCTCTGACCGCACACTGAGCGACGCGTGTTCGTCGACGAGTTGTGTTAGGCGTGTGGATTTGGAGTCCAGCGCCAACTTCGTCGCGGTCACTTCCTCTTGCAGCAACTCAAACTGCCGTTGGTGCGCTGTCACTTGCTCCAGGAGGTGCGTCGCTGTTGCTTCCAGCGGTACATTTGCAGTTTGGTCGTTACTTATGGACGATGACGTGGTACTACTGCACAACACATGTATGGCGTTCTGCAGCAACGAGTGCACTACTCGTTGCTCCCGGTTTCCGTCGACGTCGTCATCTCGAGGAGTATATTCGTCAGAACGTGCAATACCAAGCTGTAAAGTCAAAGTCATATCTTGCGTGTCCAGGGGCACGGTTCCGTAGACTTCCACATGATCCCATGTCTCATTCCGTTGGATTTGTTCCTCTTTGGTTGTAAGAGTCTCTTCGTCACACGAGTCAGGATTGCCGACTTCGACATCGCGCTGGTGTTCCCCTTCTTCTGGTTCGTCCTGGTTGTTGTAAATCACTTGAAGTAGCATGTCCATCACTGCATTGGACTGCACCCCGCCGCGCTCTTCTACCAAGTCGCGATGGGTTGCCAAGGCGCTTACTTGACCTTGCATTGAGTCGACCATGAGCTCGAACGCATCCAGTTCGTCGTCTTTTTGCTGCAGCGATCGTCGGAGCGATGCCAGTTCCATCTGGAGCACTTCCATGTCCAGCGCATGCGACGCTTCGTCCATGCTGTCTTCCACGGTCGCCAACGCATCCGCCAACCATTGCGGCATCTGCCCTTCTTGGCCACCCCCTGTCACATCATTCAAAGCTCGATCGTCGGGCTCGTTTGTCGTCAACGGATGCACCGCACGACTCTGAAGCGCACTATATGGCTCGAGTGGTGGTGGCCGTTGAACGTGTACTGTTATGGCGTCGTTGAGAAGGTTGACCAGCGCCAGTCCGTGCATCGTCTCGTCGTTGTTACCGCCTTCCATCGATTGATTGTTGGTTGGCAAGGCGAGCGCGGCCGCCCACTGCCGCATCGCGTCTTCGACCACTTGGCTTTGGTCGATGGCTTCTCCCAGTGCTTTTTGAACGCGCGCCAATTCCGCAGATTGACACGCGACTTGCGATTCCAAACCTTGCAATTCCACGCGCAATGTGTGCACAACAGGCGACGAATCCACGGGCATCGACGACGACGAACATGACGTGGTTGGGACGACCACCGCCGCCGCGTCGACGGGGTGGTTGGACCACGCGATGGACGGGGCGTTCGAGTGACACACGCACGAATGACAGTCGTCCACGAACGCCGCGCGTTGTTGTTGCTGGAGCTGCTGCAACTGAATGTCCTTGTGAAGCGATTCCGCCCGCAGCGATTGCTGCACACTGTATAGATCGTGCACGTGGTCGCGAAGGGTGTGGATTTCCCGGTCACGCGACGCTAGCGCCGCCTCCAGCGTTGCCACTTGGGTGGTCTATCGCATACATGAACGCTAGCTACGTTATTACATCAGCGAATAATGTGTGTGTACGTGATGGGACTTGGCCGCGGCGAGATCTGCGACCATCGCTTGGAGATCCCCACATTGGGCATGTTGAATTGCCAATGCGTGCTTGACTTGGTTGTACTTGACTTGCAGTTGCTGGACAAAGCTCAAGTTGCCCTGTTTCATGGACACCACGTTGTAAATCAAAGGCACACAATGGAATTGTCGAGAAAGGACATGTATGTACAGACGTGGTTTCGAGGAAGGTCCACGACGGCCGACGAAGCGCCGCTGTGAGGGAGGTCCAAGGGCTTGCCGTGTACGTGGGAGTGGACGGTGCTGCTTGCCTTCTTCTTCTACTCGTGGAGGATGAGACGCAAACGGATCGATGATCGTACCGTCTTGGGTGAGGATTTGGCCGGGCGAGGGCCGTGGTAAGTCAACGCGGTAGGGTGATGCGTTGCAGGGTTCTTCTTGGAGGACATGTTGTGCATCTCGCGAAGTAATTGCTGAATCTCGGCATTGGTGTCGTTGTCGGCATTGTTCATGTCTCCGATCCGGCAACCCTGGCAGTCGCACCCCCGCGAAACGAAACCAAATGGCACTGCGAACGACGACGAAACGGTTATTGAAAACGCCCGAAACCGAACATCGACGCCTCAGGAACCCTGGAGATGATGCGCATGTTTGTATCACGGTGAAGTTGAGGAGCATGGACGTTTGATGATAGGTGCGATAGCACGTCGGACGTGCTATCACACCTCGAAGTGACCTCGGTCAAACGATCAGGCTGGTTGCGTCCTATACATGTACCTGCACACCATCATGTAGGGTCCATCGAGCGGACTGATCGGACGACCCCCTACACCATCGCCATGAATGGGGGGAATCAAGTGGAATGCCCTTCTTCCATGTTGACTTCATGTGTTGAATCGATCAGAAGATTTTTGGCGCGCGTATTTTTTAGTCTACCGGATAAATACGGTTCTTTTCCGGATTTTCTTGGCATTTTGAACATTTGGCTGAAGTACAGTACCGCCCATAATGATGAAGAGTGAGGGCATGGTTGCCATCCCGACGTGATGACCTGATGTGAGGACGTGCGCCGTAGATCCTTATGAAGAGAAGCACAAAGCACTCCTCCAACGCATCACCGGATCGGTGGGTCGCCTGAACGATGTGATCAAGGATATCAACACCCAGCTCGAGGTACGCTGTTGCATGTCGACAGTACATGTTCACTGTTCGACTAGCAAAACGAGAAGTACTACGCAGACATGGAGTATACAAGCAGTGTATGGTGCGGCTACCAGAAGCGAGTACAGGCGTATCGCCCATCGAAACATTCGTCGTGATGGTACTTCCAAAGTTCACCAGCGACGCCATCATCAGCGTCGTCCATTCAAAGCGGCATACCCCATCCACAGCTCGACACTATCTAAGCGTAATGAATCAATTCATTTCGGCCTTCGACTGATGTACAATCGTCCCAGACAATACATGTACCCGTGTTGTCATCACCTTCCGATACAATAAGTTCAATTCAAGCCGGTAACAGAACTGCATTCTGTTACCGGCAACACATGTATGAGACCGTGATGATCGCTATCACCAGTTGCTCTGGAAGTTCCCTTGTTCATCGTCGAAAACCTTTTCTCAAAGACAAGTCGTACATATTCAGCGTGAACCTCCGGAGGACTTCAGTATGCATGCGCTTGCAGAATGCTGCCGAAATAACCTCCATGTGAATGCGTACGGTGGGTCGGAAGGATGTACACGATGGGGTGTCCATGCCTTCATGGACACGACACTCGGGACCGCCAATTGCTTGTTGCATGTGATGCCGTAGCTGGGCATGATGCAATATATATATATGAACACATTTGAAATGTCACTGTTGTAAATCTCGGAATTCAGCCAAAATCGAAACTCGAAGTTCGAAGTATTATGTGCACCAAATGGGATAGAATCAACTACGAAAGCATTCTCTTGTAACTTGTCGTGCTTTAACATGTTACTATTGCTAAGTATTCATACTACTACCGGTGTAGTACAGTACCACCACAAAGAACGTAGTACAGTACAGTATATTGGAATTATATAAATAGGTAGTCGGTTTCGACCAGGTATTTGCGTTTTACTCGACCATATGACACCCCAACTTCAAACTCACGGGAAGCACGCAACATGACCGGGGGATTGTGTGGTAGAAATTCATCCTGCGGTTTAGGCATCCAAAATGTACACAATTGACTAAATCTTTGGCGCAGCTGAAGTACACGATGCAGTGTTTTATCGAAAGTATATAATAGTGTAGATTATTACTGGAAACTGCTTATTTTACTGGCAATGAATTGTGTAACATCCAGATCTAACAAATGTGTTTTATAGGTTGAAATCGCGTTTTATCCTAGGTGAAAAGACGTTTTATATTTTTTGGCAGCCATCGAAGTAAAATACAAACTTCGATTGTTACCTGTGTGGAGTAAGTTGCATGCTGATTCGACAAATTTCCGTGTTGGCCAGACCCGCCACTGCCGCCGGCATTATGATGATCGCAACCTCCAAGATGCCGCTCGAGAAGAAGCTGCGGATAAGAACGGTGGTGGACGAGGATAAGATGGAGTCCCCACATCCTCGTATGATCGTGGAGAATATGCTGGCGTCGTCGCCGACGGCCCAACGACCTCGGACTGATGCCGGACAGTCGTTCATGTGTCTGTTCTCGTCCGTTCTGTGCGACGTCAACCTCTTCGAAAGCATCATCGCGTTTTGTCCTGGTGCAAGGTTGAAGGACTGGGTGAATGCGATCGTTGCCGCGCGGGCAGGACACCTGTACATTCTCAAACAACGCGAGCCGTTTCTCAAGTACAACACGTACATGTTCAGCGAGGCTAGCGCCAACGGACACCTCCACATTGTCCGGTGGTGTCATGAAGAGAATAAACCCGGGTGCACCGTAGACGCCATGGACTACGCTGCAGGCGCCGGCCACCTCGACGTGGTCAAGTACCTCCACGCGAACCGGTCGGAAGGGTGTACCAAGCGTGCGATGGACTTTGCGGCGCTTCGAGGGCACCTCCACGTGATCCAGTGGTTGCATGCGAATCGGCGCGAAGGATGTTCGTCTGAAGCGATGAATTCCGCGGCCTTTAGCGGCCATCTGCACGTCGTCGCATGGCTTCATGAACACCGGAAGCCATGCACCCACAACGCCATGGACTCGGCCGCCGCGAACGGTCATCTGAACGTGGTGCAATACCTCCACAGCAAGCGGCGGGAAGGATGCACGACCAAAGCCATGGACGATGCCGCCAAGAACGGCCACCTCCATGTAGTCTCGTGGTTGTCGTCGCACAGGAAAGAAGGATGCACGGCGAAAGCGATGGACTTCGCCGCTCAAAACGGACATCTGCATGTGATCGAGTGGCTGCATCGCCATCGCCGAGAAGGATGCACGACCAAGGCCATGGACTGGGCGGCCGGCGCGGGCAACTTGGAAGTGTTCCAGTGGCTCCACGTGCACCGCAACGAAGGGTGTACGATCAACGGTGTCGCAGAAGCGTTCAAGCAAAACCACCGAAATGTGATGGAGTTTATCCAGCACAACGGTATTTATCACGGCATGCACCCGCTCTTGTAAGTAGTACGTACGTAGTACTAGTACGGGACAGTGAACGAGTGTGTGTATTTTTTAATTGTAGATATATATATAAATATATATATATATAGTGTATAATACATGTCCTCGGTACGTACATAGTGGTGGTGTTATTGTTTGGGGGATGACATATTCATACCCCTCGAGAGTGTTTTTGGTGTTGCAAAGCATAACACTACTGCACTGGTAAGTTTACCTACTACACACAGGACAAACCACTTGCCCCAAAGTAGACTTATGCGAAACTTAACTATTTTAATAGTTAAGTTTCGCAATTTCGATTCAAAAGTGACAAAATAGTACAGTATTGTGGATGTCGAATCGAATCACGAATCGACGCTATTGGCTAATCCAATTTTTAGTGAATTTGATTGGCTCTTACAGAAAGAAGGACAGATATATTCAACCAATCAGAACTCCACCGTGATTGATTCGATGTTGATGAGATAAACCACGCGAATTTTGCAAGTTGAGAGTGAATTAATTCACAATACTTTTATTTTCAAGAAATATCTTCGTAAATTCACAATTTATACATCAATTCCGTACACAAATGGGGGGTTGGGTATATATATATTATCGTTCAAGTCCTGTACAAACGATGGTCACTAACGTGGTCAATCCCTTGGCAAAACCCGCCGTGTTAGCCTGTCTGTAGCCCCACGAGGGCAGCTCGTTCGGTGGGGGCGGCTACGCGGGTTCAGCTAACTATTAATAGTACCTAGCTTATATATATACAGTAGCTAAAATAGCTACAGTATACAGTAGCTAGGTAGCAGCTATACACGACACCCCCGCCACTAAAGTACTTGTGTGGGTTTATTATACCCATTTTTTCTATATATTTAGTTGCCAGTCTTCTTAGAGTTTGTGCGATGCAATGGTACTGTCTCCAAATTTCAACTTGAGTTTCTTGCCTTTGAGGTGGTCCAGTCCACTCGACAGCTACAACACACCAGCAAATCAATATTCGTAAATAATACGAATAAATATATATTATTCGTACCGGAGGAGACCCAAACATTGACGGCCGCTTCTTGTCGTCACTCGATGCCCCCTTGGGCACGTACCCCGACGACGGCGCCGCCTTCTTGGCCGTCATGTTGGTCTTGCTCAAGTCAATCAGCCGTCGAAACGATTCGTACCCGCCAGCCCAGTCGGCCGCCTTGTCCTAATATCCAGTACGTAGTAGTTAGTAGGTCATGTATACTACTAGTACTACTAGTACGGATATATCAATCAATCGCTGTGGTTGTTTACCTGCACCGTGTGGGCCACGCAGATGGGCGTCGTGTCGCCCCATATCTTGCGGTACAAGATGCATAGGGATACGCGCAGGGGCTGATCTAACGCGGCCGCCGTGTTCATGAGCGCCCACATGCGCTCGGCCACGTCCCGCGCCGCGCCGCTGTCGTCTCGCAGGGGCGCGAGCGATGGCGGCGAGAATGCCTTGGCCACGACGTCCTTTGTCGGCGACTTTTGCACGAACGCGCCGGGTACTTCCATTTGAATCCGGTGCATGATGCTCAGCGTGTACGCGTGGTCCCGTGTCGACAGCACATGGGCCGCCACACTGGGGGGGAACCCGCGGACGCAATTCAAGCACACTTGGACCCCAAACCGACGAATGCTACCAGCAAAGCCATATTATATATATATATCAACAATATCACGATATACGCCCATCCTCTTGGAATATGGGTGGGGGGTGTTTGTTCGAAACTCAAGTATCCGACACGAGAAAGATGACGACGAGGTAAACACACATGGTAGTGTAATATATACATCAAATAGTGTAATATAGACACCAAATCGTGGGATATCATCACCAAATAGTGTAATATAGACACTAAATAGTGTAATATAAACACCAACTCGTGAGATGTCAAACACCAAATAGTGTGTGATGACAACACCTAATCGTGGGATGATGCCTTGTACATTTGCAGTCCTGATTATAGTGTATGTTTACTACAGTAAACATACACTATAATCAGGACTGCAAATTTGGTATGATCCCAACAGGCCAGTTTGTTTGGCATACGAAATATATCACTATACCGAGGGCTGTCGTCTGCGTCGATCAGCTTGAGCGCGTACGAAATGGCGGCGACGGGTCCGAAGACGCGCGATTTATCACGGCGCGGTGCCGTGGGGTCGCCGCGGGGGTCTTCGGCAAAGTAGAGCCGCAGGATGCTCTCGATCGCCGCCTGGCGAACCACCGACGGGTACGCTGGGGACGCATACTTGTGGTACGAGACCCCATCCAGGTCGGTGAATCGGCCAGCCAACTGCAAATTGCACAGCGCCTACCACATAGAAATATACAAGTTACAATAGCCAACCAAAACTTCGACGACAATCAAAAAATGTCTAACGCAAAAAAAAGGACCAAACTCTATTGTGACTTCGCTAAAAACTTGCAAAATTCACGTGATTTGACTCATCCAAATGGAATCTCTGATTGGTTGAATATAATACTTGTCTTTCTGTAACAGCCAATCAAATCCACACAAAAGTATTGGATGAGCCAATCGTAGCGTCGATTCGTGAGTCAACGGGGTCTAGACTACTGAATCCACAATATATTGAAAAAGCAAGGTAGACGGATGATGCATCATTTTCAAATTGTACTTCAAGGCAGCACACAGTGATCGTGTGGCGGTAGCTCGGGTGGACGTCGTCGTAATGCAAGAGGCGGGTGATTTCCGCGGCGGTGGGGGCGGCCGCGCGGACCTCGAGGTTGAGCACGGACAGACTCAGGATGAGACTGCCCAGGTAAAAGCAGTCGTCCGCCACACACGACTCGTCGGCTCTGTCGACGTAGTTTTTCGAGTTGTCGTTCTGGGTGAGCAACTGCAGCAGAAACGTTTCGATCTCGGGGGGCGAGAACCCCGTGCGACACCGTACCATGGCGAGGCCCCGCGGGATGGCCTTCTTGATCTCGTACTCGCCTTCGGCGTAGTCTTGGATGCGGATTTCACGCGTGGTCGAGTTGGTCGAGACGGCCCCCACGCTCTGATATGGACGGCTGTGACCAACAAATGTACAAGTATATGTATGTATGTACCTCGAGCACGACTTTGCCCCCTGACGGCAAAAAGTAGTTTGGCAGTGGCATGTCAGCTGACCGGTCAAAGAAATGCTCTTTGAAAATGCGCACCAAGTTTTGCATGCCTTTCCACTCGGGCAGCGCCATGTTGACGTTCGTGTGCGGCGCGTGCAGCGATTGCCAAATACCTGTGGTAGCCGGTTGGATATGTATATTGTGTATATGTATATTTGTGTATATATATTTTTATACAATATAGTTGTGATATATATATACATAGTTGTGTGTATATATATAAATAAATATAGTTGTGTGTATATATATAAATATAGTTGTGATATATATATATTAGTGATATATAAATATAGTTGTGTGTATACATAAATATAGTTGTGATATATATATATAAATATATTAGTGTGATACAAAGAAATCCATCGATCGAGGTTGGTTGGACAGCGATTTGTATGGAAACACACAACCCGTGTCACACATTCAAATAGAAAATCCCGACACTAGAGTACTACTTGAATATACTACTGTGGAACGAGAGTTGTTCAAGAGAGAGCATTGTGATTGGTCACTTGAGTATTGTCGTGGGTTTGGATTGGTCGATTCATATTCCACACACGTTAACCCCAGAACAGTGTCACAACCACCCAATCATCGAGTTTGCCAATCAACCACTTGTATTTACTAAACCAAGCCTATATCCTGGTCTCCATATAATAAATCGTACGCCTTGTTCAGGTAATGTCATCAAAACGCTGCATGCTTCATCCATACTATACAGGAATACACTGAACGATAGAGACACTTCCACACATGACTGACTGGCCCAAAGCCCCCTACTAGTACTAGTACTACTACGATGATCATCTTACCGAGCGAGATGGCAGCTTCCGCGCGAATGCGGTTGCAGTGCGTGGTGAGGCCAGACATGGCTTCTGTGAGCACCCGACACGCCATCACGTGTGCCTTTTCATGGGGCAGCGGGTACAACGCCAGCGCCCGGGCGGCGTGGACACGGGCGCGCACACTCGAGTCGCTATTGAGCTGTTCCATCCAGTTGAAATCAGGCTGGTACATGACAATGTGGCTGAGCCAGCCAGCGTCCGGATCGATTTTGACCCAGTACACGGGCGTGTCGTTGAGCCCCATGCCCGCGGCTATGGACCGAGTGAGACGACGATGTAGACGACGACCAAGGTACCCGTGATCTGCTGCGAGTAGTCGTCGTCCGACTGGTCGAGCTTCTGGCGCGTTCGCCGCTTCTTTCGGACCTTGTTGTGGCATGCAAACTCCCACTTGTGCCGCATGTTTTCAACGCGGCGGAGGTCCGAGTACTCGCCAGAGTCTTCGACAATCGTGATTTTGATCCCGCCCTCAAACTTTTCACACCCAGCGAGCAACTATCGACGCCGATACACAAGATATGAGCATTGCTTGATATATATATACTATATCCTGGTCTCCATATAATAAATCGTACGCCTTGTTCAGGTAATGCCATCAAAACGCTGCATGCTTCATCTATACTATACAGGAATACACTGAACGATAGAGACACTTCCACACATGACTGACTGGCCCAAAGCCCCCTACTAGTACTAGTACTACTACGATGATCATCTTACCGAGCGAGATGGCAGCTTCCGCGCGAATGCGGTTGCAGTGCGTGGTGAGGCCAGACATGGCTTCTGTGAGCACCCGACACGCCATCACGTGTGCCTTTTCATGGGGCAGCGGGTACAACGCCAGCGCCCGGGCGGCGTGGACACGGGCGCGCACACTCGAGTCGCTATTGAGCTGTTCCATCCAGTTGAAATCAGGCTGGTACATGACAATGTGGCTGAGCCAGCCAGCGTCCGGATCGATTTTGACCCAGTACACGGGCGTGTCGTTGAGCCCCATGCCCGCGGCTATGGACCGAGTGAGACGACGATGTAGACGACGACCAAGGTACCCGTGATCTGCTGCGAGTAGTCGTCGTCCGACTGGTCGAGCTTCTGGCGCGTTCGCCGCTTCTTTCGGACCTTGTTGTGGCATGCAAACTCCCACTTGTGCCGCATGTTTTCAACGCGGCGGAGGTCCGAGTACTCGCCAGAGTCTTCGACAATCGTGATTTTGATCCCGCCCTCAAACTTTTCACACCCAGCGAGCAACTATCGACGCCGATACACAAGATATGAGCATTGCTTGATATATATATATATATATATATATATTGTCAAGTCGAATCGAAATAATGGTTTGGGAGCGTGTGCTCTCAATCGAATAAGCAAATCACCAAATCGGCACACAATCGACCGACCAATCAAAACCGACAACACGAATCCAGTAGCCAATCAAATGACCCCCTCTTCGACGAAATCAACATCGAAATAGTGTGTGTGACTGAAATTAGTGTGGCATTATTGGACCATTTATTTTGACATACAAAAGTCAATACAAAACAATCGATCGATCGATTTGGCAAAGAATTTGCTCAAAAGTCAGCCAAATATTGGTAAAACGGCTATATGTAAAACTCATCATCTTCAGGACAATATATATATATATATATATATATTCATTGTCGGGAGGGTTATATAGGACGTTGTCGTACCGATTGTTCCAAGACCAATTCTGCCTGGGTTTGCTTGCGGTTGTACCAAAAGCCGACGGAAATGAATGGCAGCCCCCCCCGCACGATCCACGTCTGCAAGAACGACCGGCATAAATCTCGACCCGGCGCCCCTACCACCAGTCCCATCCATTACTATATATATATATATATATATCGATGTGTGATTCACAATCAAGAAAAGACACAACGGAATATAATATAAAAAGGAATATTGTGCTTTCGAGTGAAATTTCGTGTTGTGGCGTGGTTTCTTGTTGGAATTTAAATCGATTTGATTGGCTACCTCAGATGAGCTCAAAATTATTAGCCAATCAAAACCACCTTCTCAATGAAATTCAACCAATCAGCTCGGTCGTGGATCGGTTTGGTCGGCGCGATTCGATTGCACCCCCTTCCCAAATTTATATCAAATCGACAATACAAAACAATTTTGTTTACTAATTTAGCCAATCAGGTTGTAGACATGCATTCCAGCCAACCAATCAAAAGTACGAAATGTAGTCTTCCTGACAGAACAGCAGGAAAAACAATCAATCGGTCGATCGATTTAAATACTCTCAAGTCCGTAAATATATATATATATATATATACATTAACTCGATAGCCCCAAGGTGCCTGGAATAATGAATACGCACGCACCTGCGACCTCCTTGACCGTGCTGAGCAGGTACCACGTGCTCAGCGGCTGCGTCTGGCCGCTCACGGCGGGTGTCGAATCTTTGTCTCCATCTAACATGGCATCATCTTCATCTTCCTTGTCGTCGTCCTTGTCGGGGGTGGTCGTGGGGGGGGACGTCTGCTTGGTGTTTGAGGACGTGCCGCTGACGATACGCTGCAGGGCAAACTGCATGTGCTTGCGCTCGACCTTGCGCTCGATCATGCGCAGAATCAGCGGCGCTTTGGCTTCGAGGAACGCCATGTACGACGGGTCGTACTCGCCGTACACGTCCACGTCTTCGTACATCAAACTGGGCGGGCCGCCCTCGGCCAACAGCTCCATCATCACGAGCGCGTCCAGGGCCAGCTGAATGCGGTATCCGTACGCTTCGTCGCCCATCACAGACTGCACGTACAGATCAAACAAGTACCCGACCACCCCCACCAACACCCACGCGTGCTTTGTCGATTGAATCCCGATCGCTCCTACTCTCTCAAAAGGGTTAGAAACAGAATATAGATATAGATCCAAGTCGAAAGATATTTATACTACGTGAGATATATTTAAATATATATATATTTGTCCAATCGATTCAATCAATTGGAGCCGCCGTAGCAAAATTTAAAGAGAAGGAATGAAACAACCGCCTCGGCCAATGAAATCACGTTGTTCGGGCGATTTTCTGCCAATCCAAAGGACGGATTCTGTCCCGTATGTCAGATATACCAAACATTGTATGGTATAGTTTGTACAAATGCTATTTATTGGCTACTTCACTCGAAAGTCCACATTTTGATTCGAGTCGGCGGGGTCTGGAAATACGTACCGAATCATCCACAATAGAATGAAAAAAATAACATTTGGAATGACATGACCAATATATATATATATATATATATATATATATATACC